CGACGATATTACGAAAACAAGAGAATTTAGTTAGCGACTAGCTAGGTAAAGTTCATCCCTCACATTAGATTAGTTTTTAAATTCAAATTTAAATGTTTCTTTTAATAACATGAATAAGTTTTCCTAATATTACAATATGGTGTTTTACATTACCCTCATCAGAAAGTCTTATTTTCCCATAACACATATAATTTAATTAGTAATATAATGTGATTGACGATTGTGATTCTTAAGATGTAGTTAAGTAAAAAAAATTGGGAGGCGCTAGAAAATAATTAATTATCGAAGTGGGCGGTAGACAAAATAAGTTTGAGAACCTCTGGTCTAAACCTAAATCCTAGTGAATCCTGTTTAATAATTTTCCAAAAATCGTGAAAATTATTCCTCTTATTTTGTAACGAATATAAACAAATCGTGGTAACCCTATCTTAACAGTTGTAAACGCTAGTTCAAAATGTATTTTCCGGAATATATGTTTTCTACTCAAAACAGGTACATTGAAAATGATGTCATACAACATTACAATGAAAACAATGGTAGAATTGCATGATATTGTTTCCTTTTGTTGCATAGTCTGTTCCCACATCATAATAATTGGAATCTGAATTAGATACGGAATATCTGTTTGTGTGATTTAATGGTGTTCGGCACGTTATTCAAGCTGAAATTAAAGTTATTCAGAGAATGTAAATAACAGACTGTTGAAATGTCAAATCAGAGGTTAAAACTGTTTCAGTTAAGTAATGGGAATTTGCATGATGAGTAAAATGAAGTGATAAACTTTCACTTTTGTTTGCCCAGACGTTTATGCTTATCTAAATGTAGTAATAGGGGAGCCCAAGCAGGGATTTCGGGATTTACTAAAGCGCGGCAGATTAATATACAGGGGGATACCTTGTACCCGGTTAAGTACCTCCACCAAATATATAAGGCCGCCTGTGACGGATAAAGGATCAGATTAGTAAAAAAAAAATGATCATCAGAAAATCTCGAGCGCGTCAGATTAAGGTAGGGTGAGTTAATTACCTGCTAAAAAGTGTATATTCCAGTAATCTGACAATTTGAGAGTGACGTAAAGAAAGGGGATGGCAGCAAAGTTGTAAAAAAATAACTTCATTTCGACATTCTCGAGCGTAGCAAATTTGTTTTTATTTTGAAGTAAATGATTCAAGGATAACGAAAAATATATAATCTGACGATTTCCGCAAGCCGAAATAACAAAAATTCGTCGATAAAGTTTAATGCGTGCAGCTGTGTGATACCTATATTTCCCTCTCCAAGTTTCTATTCCTCTATTCTCTATTCACTTTTTCTCTATCTATTACCCTCTCACTCCGTCCCCACTCTGAATTCTGTTGCCATGACGCCATCACAACTGATCACAGAGACTCGTTCGTGATGAAGATGATGATTAATTAATTTATCTAAACTTTGGGATCAATCAGCCGTATATTGTTTAGAAAAATGACCATTGATATTTTCCGATTCTGGAGAGGCAGCCTGAAAATCAGCTATCAAGCCCAAGGCAGTAGGCGCGCAAAGGAGGGTTACAAATAAGGCAGCACGTGCACGTGTTAATAAAAAAAAATACTTTTTTCAAATGAAGAAATACATGTAAAGTGAGTAAGAATTGTATCAAGGAGATTACTTACAGCGCCATCTGCCCGCGAATAGATCAAGCAATAATATCGATATATCAAGGAGTTACGTACAGCGCCATCTGCCCGCGAATAGATCAAGCAATAATGTCGATATATCAAGAAGGTTACATACAGATCCATCTGTCCGCGTCAAATACAGATCCCGACCTTGTGAGTTACAAACATACATACATATAGGTGAAGCTAATATAAAGCGTGTAATAAACTAATGAAAATATGTTACGTACAGTGCCATCTGTCCGTGAATAGCAAGGAGTGTTACAAACATACATACATACAGGTGGAGCTAATAAAAGCGTGTTAATTAAAAAAGAGATGCACTTACAACCGATAGATTTGAAAAATGAGAGTTGGCAGATTTACCGTAATTTTGTATATGACAAAATAAAATATGTCAGTTGATATTTTGAAACTGTCGGTGGACATTTTTTAAAACTGTCACTTATCAAATTTTATCGATGAAATTTGAAGTGAGTATGGGATGATATTACTAAAATTTGAATGAAATAATTAATGTTAAAGGCTGGGTCTTACTTTTTCATAGACTAGACATATTAGAAAATATGCAAAGTAATGTATTTTTAGAGCGTAACAATCGTGTATAGCTTGATATTTCATCATTATCAGAATCAATGAACTCGATTCCCAACGTTACACAATTCTTTATTTCAAAAACATTGTTAATTCTGCAAATTAATCATTTTTTTCTACGTTATAGAACGGTGTATCCTCAAACTACATAATTTCACCATACATATCGTGTTTCATAATTTATTATCTTGATACAGACATTAACCTAAAAGATATATCTCACAACGGGGTATGGTGGATGGGAAATGTGTGATGTCAATGATATAAAAGGCAAACAAGCGAAATTGTTTATAATTGTAATGGCCGATGTTAATTTCATTCATTTTGTGTCCTTGGTTAGTGAACGATGAAAAATTTGCCTATCGTAAAATTTTAATTCATGTTGTTAAAAAGGCATCTACAGCCAGCAGCAGCATCGATCAGATTAGCCCATGACGTGATAAGCACGTCAGCATGCATATTTATTAATATGATAACTCTCATCACCAGTTTTTTTTACAATTATTTCAGTACAGTCGTGGTGTATATAGAATGAAATGAAAAATTTATAGACATTTTTTGTCACAAAATTAGGTATAAGAGTGGTGTTGAAACAAGTATTTAGTTTCCTAGAGATTTTTTCGAGAAATGTAGTGGTTGTGGTGAATTGGTACTAAACTAAAACCCTTACCAAAAATACGAACCACATTTTTTCTACAGCTATAAAATCCTCAATCTTCTTACTGGGGTAGAAAATGTGGAGCAATTCCGAAAAACTACTAATTTTAATAACTCGCCAATGAAAATTAGGTCCAATCTTGATTAAGGTCAGAAAAAAAATCGTTTTTTTTTTGTTTTAAAATTGATAACATTAAATGATGTCGCTTTGAAATTTTTGCCACGTCATTCTGTATGTCAAAATGGAGCCCAAGGGTGTCTGATGAATGATGAGTCTGTTGACACTCTGCTTTCTTGTTTCACGAAATTTTTGTAACTTGAATTTGATTTCATTTCTTTTTTGATATTTACTTGTGAGAAAAACTGGAGAGACATTTATTTCATCATAAAATTTAGATACATTATAAACATTTTGGGAGAATGAAAATTTCCTGAAGACTTTAGGTGCCAACAACTGATGTAGGTTTTCCTCCCCGAATGGAGGACTGTATTATAAATGATTTTTCTCTCGAGTCCTCTGTTACTGTTTTGAGTTTTCAACCAGTCTTCCTCAATATTCAGCAAAGGTATCGAATGTTTCGCATCCGTCAGACAGTTGATTCAATAATAATAATAATAATCTGGATACCGGAGAGACGTATACTTACCTTGGTGTGGGACAACGCCACTTACAAGAGGTAACAGCTGTGAAAACATCTTTCCGCGGCAAGTATCAGCACCAACCTCGACAGATCTTGTCATCGGAACTGTCGGGGAAGAACAAAGTTGCTACAACAAATATGCTTGCCGTTCCAATCTTACTCTACTCGTTTGGAGTAGTGAAATGGGATCGGGAGGAGCTGTATCAACTCGACGTAAAGACCCGAAAAATGATGCATCTCTATAGGAGTTTGCATCCCAAATCTTCCGTTCCACGGTTGTACTTCCCCCGACAAAAGGGAGGCCGTGGACTTTTGAGGTTGGAGTGTCTACATGACAGAATGGTACTGGATACAGCATGTAAAGTCGTCAGGAGTTCGGAACCCCTTCTCTGCATTGTCCGTGACCATGAGAGAGCAGGAATTGGAGCATTTCTCCTTAAGGCAGCTGCCCGAGCAGCACAACTCTGTCACCGAGTTGGAACCCGTTCAGCAAAAAGCTCAGATAAAAGCCGCAGAGATCACCTTACTTCTGCGGAAACAAGGATAAGCCAATGCATGTCTTATCAAAGCGCCTGACGTTCGCTTTTCTCAGGTCGAGTCGGCTGAAGTCGGACTCTGAGGGGTTCATCATGGCTTGCCAGGATGGTGTCTTAACACCTTAGTCTACCGCAGGCGCGTGGTGGGTATAGAGGCTCCTGACACAAGGTGCAGGGCCTGCGCGAGGCGCCCGAGACCCTAATGCACTTGCTATCAGCATGTCTAGCATATGCGGTCTCGGCCTATATTCATCGACATAACGCGGCCCTAAGAGTTGTAAATTACCAATAATACGGATATATAGATACTTGAAACGAAACTGTCATCAACTGTTTGTGGTACCAAAGAATTAAAAGGGGACGATATGACATTTTGGGCATTCACTTTCGAAACCAGTTTGAGAGAAGTCAAGACATCCGGGTGAAATTGTACTGTCGACTTGTAGGCAAGCAAGGAAGATAATTTATTCGATGATATTATCAGAAAAGACCTCATGTATCTGAAAAGTGAAGCGGCCTTTGCTGTGCCAGTAAATTTGGATCATAGTCCACTAGACCGTTAATACCGTAGGAGTGCCGATGGTGATAAAGGACTCCTGAGGCCGCACTATACTGAAGGAAATAGATTGACACCGCATATACTGCATATCTGTCCGCGAATAGATCAAGCAATAATGTCGGTAATTCTGAGCTTGAGAATTGCAAACAAACAAACATACATACATACAGCGTGTGAAAAAGGGTATGGTGATCGAGACATGATTGTATTATTCACTTCAAGTGTGTACATTCAACAAATAATCCAAACAGAAATATTGTATCTTGATAGATAGGTTTGAGAATATGAAAACTTGTAGTAGAAATTAATTTCTGCAGAAATTTACTCGTATTTAACTTTTGTTTTTTTTTTCCAGTTGGTCCCGTGCATTATGAACCAAAACCAGGTCCTCCATATCAGACAAGGACCAACATGAGTCAAAGAGATGAAGTTCAGAAGTTTGAACAGGGCCGAATCAGAGTCCTGCAAGAAGAACGGCTCCACATCCAGAAAAAGACTTTTACAAAATGGATGAACTCATTTTTACAAAAGGTCAGAGAATAGTTAGTTGCTTCCATGTTTTAACCTGTTTCGAAATGATTGCTATTCAGTTTCGGTGGTAAAATGATCGCTGTGAAACATTCCTATTTCATTCTGTTGAAGAGTTTTGAAACTGCAACCCTAAACTATGGAAACGCAGAGGGGCCACATATTTTTATTATTCGTTTCTTGGATATTACAAATTAAAAATTTTGACTTCTATCTCGAAATTATGGTTCCAAACTCGAAATTTCGACTTTAATTACTAAGTTTCCTCTAAAAACTTGAAATTACAACTTTAAACTCGAAATTTCCACTTTGATCTCAAAGTTTCTACTTAAAACTCGAAGTTTCAATTTTAAGATCAAAATTACGATTTCAAATTCGAAATTACGACGTTGAATTCGAAATTACGACTTTAAATTCGAAATTACCACTTTAAATTCGAAATTACGACTTGAATTTGAAATTACGACTTTAAACTCGAAATTACGATTTTAAACTCGAAATTAAGATTTTTAACTTGAAATTACGATTTCAAACTGGAAATTACGACTTTAAACTCGAAACTACAACTTCAAACTCGAAATTTCGACTTTGATCTCAAAGTTTCTATCAAAACTCGAAATTTCAATTTTAAATTCAAAATTACGACTTTTAATTCGAAATTACGACTTTAAATTCGTAATTACGACTTTAAATTCGAAATTAAGACTTCAAACTTGAAATCACGACTTTAAATTCGAAATAACGATTTTAAACTTGAAATTACGATTTCAAACTCGAAACTACAACTTTAAACTCGAAACTACAACTTTAAACTCGAAACTACGTCTTCAAACTCGAAGTTATGACTTCAAACTCGAAATAACGACTGTAAACCTGAAATTACGACTTTAAACCCGGAATTACGACTTTAAACCCGAAATTACGACTTTTTAACTCGAAATTATAACTTTTTAAAACGAAATTATGACTTTTCAACACGAAATTACGGCTTTTTAACTCGAAATTATAACTTTTTAAAACGAAATTATGACTTTTCAACACGAAATTACGGCTTTTTAACTCGAAATCATAACTTTATTACTAGAAATACGACTTTTTAACTAGAAATTACGACTTTTAAACTAGAAATTACGACTTTTCAACTCGAAATTACGACTTTTTAACTCGAAATTACGACTTCTTATATCGAAACTACGACTTTTCAACTCAAAATGACTTTTTAACTCGAAATTACGACTTTTTGACTCGAAATTACGACTTTTTAACTCGAAATCACAACTTTTTAACCCGAAATTATGACTTTTTAATCCGAAATTATTACTTTTTAACACGAAATTACGGCTTTTTAACTCGAAATTAGGACCTTTCAACTCGAAATTATGGCTTTTTAACTCAAAATCACAACTTTTCAACGAAAAATTACGACTTTTCAACGAGAAATTACGACTTTTTAACTCGAAACTACGACTTTTCAACTCGAAATTACGATTTTTAACTCGAAATTACGACTTTTCAACTCGAAATTACGACTTTTAACTCGAAATTACGACTTTTTGACTCGAAATTACGACTTTTTGACTCGAAATTACGACTTTTTAACTCAAAATCACAACTTTTTAACTCGAAATTACGACTTTTTAACTAGAAATCACGACTTTTAAACTCGAAATTACCACTTTTTAACTCGCAATTACGACTTTTTAACTAGAAATTACGACTTTTAAACTCGAAATTACGACTTTTTGACTCTAAATTACGACTTTAATCTCTCAATGTTGAAATATATAATATAGTCAATGAAATATTTTGGATTTGTCCGACCTTTGATATACCTAATGATGATTTGTTCTCTTCAGGCCCGCATGGAAGTAGAAGACCTCTTCGTAGACCTGGCGGACGGAAAGAAACTATTGAAACTTTTGGAAGTGATATCTGGTGAAAAATTAGCGAAACCGAATAATGGACGAATGCGGGTACACAAAATCGAAAACGTCAATAAGAGCTTGGCGTTTCTACACACTAAAGTCAGGTTAGAAAGTATAGGAGCAGAAGACATCGTAGATGGAAATCCGAGACTTATTCTTGGTCTTATATGGACCATCATTCTGAGGTTTCAGATACAAGAAATTGAAGTACCAGAGGTGAGGTTTTGGTCAATGTCAATCGTATAGCGAAGACGAGAAGGGTTATTACTAGTTAAAGGCTCTGGACCAATGTAATTTAGAAGTTTGAGTAATTAAAACATCGTAGGAAATAGTTTTGTAAAATTTAAAACATTTTGGTGTCAGATTATATTTTTCAGAGAAGTTTGTATGTTTTGGAGATGCAAAACATTAACCGGCACTGCATTCATTTTTCCCAAGTCTGCTCTTGAACGATTCTGCAACAACTAATTTTTATCTCTCTTCAGGATGAAGATAATGAGAGCTCCGAAAAGAAATCAGCCAAAGACGCCCTCCTCTTGTGGGCTCAAAGAAAAACCCACGGATACCCCGACGTTCACATTACCGACTTTTCCTCTTCCTGGAGAAGCGGATTGGGTTTCAACGCTTTGATCCACGCTCATAGACCCGACCTCTTCGACTTCAATGGTTTGAGAAACAACAAAAACATCGACAATCTCAACCATGCTTTCGATGTTGCTAATAACGAACTGGGCATCCCTAGTTTATTGGACGCCGAAGATATCGACACCTCGAGGCCCGACGAGAAAAGTATTATGACGTATGTCGCTTCTTATTATCACACGTTTGCTCGAATGAAGAATGAGGAGAAATCCGGTAGACGTATCGCTAAGGTGAGTTTCTTCTCGTTTTTTAATCTTATTTTGGGTTTAACTCATGGACTCGAGAACAAGGTACGATAGATGGCGCTGAAGTACCTAAATATGTATAGTTAAATGGGTTAATTCATGATTTATATAATAAATTTCAGTTCAGTTCACCCGTTAAAATTAATTTATTTATATGACTCTTGAACATTTTTAATAGCAGTGAATTTTTCACTTAAATTGAAAGGTTATTGAAATCATATAACTCCTAGAAAAATGATGTTTTCATTGAGTTTCTGTTATGCGTTCGAACAATGTAAAAATTATTCGCATTCCTTGTAGAATAAGTGTTGACCAGCGGCGGCTCGTCAGAGGAGGCAAGGGAGGTTTAGCATCCCCATAAAATTTGAGGCTATTCATCGCAATAAATTAAAAGATATTGACAAATAATTATGATTATTTTTTTCTAAAAATGATTGGGTACCATTACTCTACCATTAATTTTTAATATAAAAACATACTATGCCCGAAAAAACACTATCACTCACTACGTAGTAAGTACCACACTGTATCCTGTATCAACAAACCTCAAACGCACCGCTCACGAACGAATAACGAAGAAACCATCAACCCGAAATAATAAATGCTATACGTTGATACGTTGCAATGGAGCCAAGCATCCGACCGCTTTAAAAAACACAAGCTCCGCGCGACCGATCCAGCCAGCGACATACGTCCCGATTTGTAATTTTAGTTGCAGAAATTATAGCGTTAGAGGAGGCTAGCCTCCAGTTAGTCTTCGTTAGTGTACGACTGCGTTTGTTTTTGATTTAATTATTCAGACGGGATGCCGTGAATACACAATTTATGTTTGCATTTATGCAAATATTACGTATTTTGCTTTAAATAGGTGCGGTACCCCAAAAAATGCACGAGCCGTCACTGGGTTGACATCATTATTATAGAGTAGAGCGTCGAAAATCCGAACGTCGAAAATCCAAACGCCTTTTGAATACAGTTGAACTTGCATAAACCAAAAAACCATTAGATTTGTCATTCTTACATAAATTCAAATTATGTACCTTCATTCATTTGGCCAAAAATAAGCTCCAACATTCAAATTTGACTTTCAAAATCAATGGTGACCAACACAACCATTTGACAAGATATTCAGGCAATCTGAAATTAATGAAAATGAAAACAAATATTGGGCAAAATTCGATTTATTATGAAGGTATCAAATTTTATAATGAACTATCGAATGCTTTAAAAAGATATTCATTGTTTATATAGATATATTATCTGATGAGTACATTCACGTTCTTGTTGATAATAATGTATATGTTTGTGTATATGAATGTATATTTATATTTTTTTCAAGTTTCAGTTCTAATTTATCATTTCATTGTGTGTACTTAGTTATGTTATAGTTAGTTTTTTTTTAATTATTGTTTTTTTCTCTGCTATAAACATTGTATGTTTCTTGGGAAAATCAATTGTTATTGCCGATATAATAGTTTAAGGGAAAATTCATATTGAAAAGAAATTAAAACACTACTTTAGTTTAATTTAAAAAATTCAAATTATTAAGGTTTTCAATAAAATAAGACTTTGATATACCGCAGTCGGCCATTTTGACTTAAACACCAATCACAGCGCTTGATGTTACCCTTAGGTAAACTCCCTTGGCAATATTTTCATTCACTGTGTACTGATTATGCATTTGGATTGATTTTATATTATTTTACATGTGATTTATCGACTCCACTCTACTATAACAATGGAACCAAGCGTGGTTAAGACAAATAGCCCAAATTTGCCCAGGATTGATGTATTAATGTCGCTCATGAGGAATAAAATAATGCATTCAACATTTAAAGGGATTCGTTTCTATTTCACCATTTGGCAACGTCGGTTATAGCTAATAAAGAACAATGAATCTACTTGTGATATACTGTTTGGAACCTTTGGTATAGTAATGAATATTACCGGAGTTTTTTCCCAACACCAAATCGTTATTTTTACACCTCGACACGTGTTTCGATCACCAAGTGATCATCTTCAAGAGGAAGATAAAACTAATAACTACTCGAAACTAAAGCTACTTATACTAATCAGGTACATCATACAGGTAGGTAATTTTACAATTGGCCTTTCTATTATTTACAATATGTCCTTATGTATGTTTGAATGTTACAGCTATATATAGAACAATTTTCAGCTATATAAAATTAGTTTCACAATATTGCCTATCTAAATATATTTACAATGTGTCTTTTTGTAGTAATCAGTGAACCCAACAATATTATTTCAACAAGCTGTATAGTATTCTATTTGGTATTGGTCCGTTATCGTTATTCATAATATTACGTTTACTTATTTCCACACTCTCATAGGCATCTAGTTGCCTGTTGTTATTAACTTGTCTAACTAATCTTAAAGAACTGAAGTCTATGGAATGGTTTTGTTGCAAAATATGATGGGCGACTGCTGATTTTTCAGGTCTTCCATATTTTAAGTGTGCTATGTGTTCCTTATATCTCACTTTAATAGATCTTTTTGTCTGTCCAATTGTAAAATTACCTACCTGTATGAGGTACCTGATTAGTATAAGTAGCTTTAGTTTCGAGTAGTTATTAGTTTTATCTTCCTCTTGAAGATGATCACTTGGTGATCGAAACACGTGTCGAGGTGTAAAAATAACGATTTGGTGTTGGGAAAAAACTCCGGTAATATTGACAATGAATCTGTTACCTGTATGAGACAAACAAAGATGACATATTTCAGAGGCGTGCTGTTTTGTTTACTTATGTTCCGAGTTCCGAGACATTCTGTGACATATGACATTTTGTACACCAAACCTATCTTCCTCTATATAAATAAATAACAAAACAACTGTTGTTTATGTGGCTTGTGTAGGTGGTATTGAACTATATATTTTGCCTTAATTTGACACTATTGACATGATTCTTCTTCTTTTAGCATACTACTAACCTGAACTCCGATCTAGCATTCTAAGCGCTGTTACTGTTGAGTTCTATTTTAAATAACAATCACTTTGTATTTGTTTTGACATGTGAAAAAATAGTTGAATGACAGTTTTTGTAAACAAGAAGAATAAAAAACCGCTTTTGAAGAAAAAGGAAAAGTTTGCGTTTTATTTATAGTAGTATATTCAGAAACGATAAACATTGTGCCAGTCTTCGAGTGGATATACTAATAGTGCACATTTCTAGGTAAATGTAAACAGTTACCAATATGTGAATTAGAAACAAATCGTTTTAAAATTTAAAACCCAACATTTGAAATATCAATTTGAATACTTTTCGAAGTGAATTTGAGAAACTCATGAATTGAACTCAACTTTATTTTGTTCAAACTTGCATTCGCTGTAATAACCCAAATTGAGGAACATTCTCCATTGATAATAAGAATGACAGCCAAGACCAAAACAAACGTGACCTCTATAAATTATTTATTCCATATCCTCAATATTTCACGTCAAACAAACGCTTTAAGTTTAAGACCTATCAATATATGATAACATACTCAAATCAAAGCGGTCTTCACAGAAATTCATGTCTACGTCGTTCAGGTTTCGCCGTGCGAGCTTCAACCACTTGTCTTGTATTATTTTCTTGTTTGAAACATGTACAAAGACTTTGTTGGGTGTTCTTATTGCGATACTACGGTATTGAACACCACTCATTTGGAATTCATTTTTATCACACGAATTCATTTACTTCCTTCGCTATGCAAAGAAACAATGACATGTTTACCTAAGCGTGACGTCAGAGCCGACGCCATGACACCTGCGAGCTGTTTTCGCGTACTATTCAAAAACATATTACGAAAATGGCTTTAAACTTCGTTAAACTTAGGTTCATTACATAAATGAAGTTTATTTCGTAAATAATAAATGTTTTTTTAAGGTTTTAACACTATAATTTTCGACTTCAATCTCAAAGTTTTGACCGAAACTTCGAATTACGACTTTGAACTCGAAATTACGATGTTAAACTCGACATTTCGACTTTAAACTCGACATTTTGACTTTAAACTCGACATTTCGACTTTAAACTCGACATTTCGACTTTAAACTCGACATTACGATTTTGAACTCAAAATTACCACTTCAACCTCTAAATTACGACTTCAACCTCTAAATTACGACTTTAAACTCGAAATTATGACTTCCAACTCGAAATTTTAAACTCAAAATTACGACATTAAACTAAAAATTTCGACTTTGAACTCAAAGTTTCTATTTAATATCGAAAATGCTAGTTTTAACTCGAAATTTCTACTTTAATCTCAAAGTTTAGACTAAAAACTCGAAATTACGACTTTAAAATCGAAACTACACCTTTAAACTCGAAACTACGTCTTCAAACGTGAAACTACGTCTTCAATCTCTAAGTTATAACTTTAAACTCGAAATTACGATTATATACTCGGAATTACGACTTTAAACTAGAATTTTCGTCTTCAATCTCAAAGTTTTGACCGAAACTTCGAAATTACGATTTTAAACTCGACATTACGATTTTGAACTCGAAATTACGACTTCAACCTATAAATTACTAGAAAAAACGACTTTTAACTAGACATTACGACTTTAAACTCGAAAATGCTACTTCAACTCGAAATTTCTACTTTAATCTCTAAGTTTTGACTAAAAACTCGAAATTACGACTTTAAAATCTAAACTACACCTTTAAACTCGAAACTACGTCTTCAAACGTGAAATTACGTCTTCAAATTCTAAGTGATGACTTTAAACTCGAAATTACGATTATATACTCGGAATTACGACTTTAAACTAGAATTTTCGACTTCAATCTCAAAGTTTTGGCGGAAACTTCGAAATTACGACTTTTAACTCGAAATTACGACTTTAAACTCGACATTACGATTTTGAACTCAAAATTACGACTTCAACCTCTAAATTACGACTTTGAACTTGAAATTTCGACTTCAGTCCCAAAGTTTCGACCGAAAACTCGAAATGACTACTTTAAACTTGAAATTTCGACTTAGTCTTATTGACTGACATGATTTTGTTTTTAAGGTTTTAAAAACTATAATGTGCTTAATGCGCCATGTAAACAACCCCACGATTTCACCGACCCATATCCTGAATTTTACAGTTGTCTACAAAGTTACTGCATAATGTGAACTTTGAATTAATAGATCATCAGTCAGATGGTGGATTCGGACAAAATGAAGGGCACCTATGACAGATTAACAACAGATCTACTCGACTGGATAAGAATCAAAATCGTGGAGCTGGAAGACAGGAATTTCCCAAACTCTCTAGAAGGTATCCAAAGCCTTCTTCTTTCATTCGGCTACTACCGCACTCAAGAAAAGCCGCCCAAGTACAAAGAAAGAAGCGAAATCGAAGCCTTGTTTTTCAACATAAACACCCAACTGAAGGAGCTGAGGCAACCGGCGTTCAACCCAGCTGACGGCAAACTAGTCCAGGATATCGAGAGGTCCTGGAACACCTTGGAGAAAGCCGAACACCGAAGAGAAGTGGCCTTGCGAGAGGAACTGTTGAGGCAGCAACGACTAGAGCAGTTGATGTATAAATTCGAACGTAAAAGTATCTTGCGAGAAGGGTATCTGAAGGAAATGATCCAAGTTTTGTCAGATCCTCGTTACGGATCGAACTTGACTCAAGTCGATGCGACTGTCAAAAAGCACGAAGCCATAAGCGCAGACATCTTGGCCAGAGAGGAACGTATCCACGACTTGACTCAAATGGCGAAAGAGTTGATTAGGGAAAACTATCGCAATTCGGAGAGAGTGACCACGAGAGAAGCAGAAATCACTCAGCAGTGGGAGGAACTGAAGAAGTTATTGGAGAAACACAAGCTCAACCTGAACAGAATGGGCAATGTCATGTCGATACTCAGGGAAATAGATACGACTTTGAACAGCATCGAGCAATTGAACATCGACATGTCATCTTCTGATACGGGAATTCACTTGATGGCTGTGGAGGAGTTACTGCATAAGCACGCTCTGCAAGAACTGCAGGTCACTGCCTTGGGAGACACGGAGAGGAGGTTGAAGAGGGTAGGGGAGCAACTAGCTGCCCAAAATCCAAAGGAAAAAGATATACTGATCAAGAAACTTGACGAACTCACAGCAGCTTATGATCAATTGAAGGTAAGAGAAATAAATTATAAATGATGTTAGTAACGATTTTGAAATCCATTTCTAGTTATTTGTTTCGATGTTATCTTGATGGGCCATTTATTACTCCGGAAATAAACCTGTTGGTTTATCATTCCATAAGATGATTGTCCGACCAATGATTATGTATGGAGTAATTGCCTAGTTGTTGACTATATAAACCTCACAGATGAAGCTCTCTACAGACAGGTTTGGCTATGTAAATACTTCTAGGTCTAGCTCCTCTCTGGAGAGGGAGATAGACCTAGGGAAGTAGTCCATGGAGAGCCATCCTATGGAGAAGGAGGCTAAATGGAGGCCAATTGTATAAACCATGTCTATACTGAAAGTCGCAGTATTTTGCAATAACCTTCGACTCAGTGCCTCCTGCAGTCAGCTCGGACCTGCCTTGTGCAGTCCTACTCCCGAGTGGAGTGGATTGTTTTTTCTGGGAGCCGGAAATACCAAGAGCAGATAAATGTTGGCCCACAGATGGATTGAAACACCTTCAAGTTCATTCTATTTTATTGATTTTAATTTCCCAGTAACTGATGTTAAACTCCTATTTAGGATTCGACGATGAAAAGAAAGGCAGCTCTCGAAGAAGCCAGAAACTTCTACCAGTTTCTCCAGGACCAAGAAGACGAGGAAGCCTGGTTGATTGAAAAACAAAGGATATGTCAAGCCGGCATAACGGCCAAGGACCTGAGAGGCGTTTTGTCGCTACAGCAAAAGCACAAGGGTCTCATGGACGAAATCAAGACGAGAAAGAACATGTTCGATCAACTGGGAGCCACCAGCAAGCAACTGATTTCGGAAAAACATCCTAGATCTGCCGAAATCCAACAGCACATCGACAGGAACAAGAACAACTGGGACATATTGGAAAAACTGGCGACGGAGAGAGCAAAGCAACTTCAAGATGCGGCGGAAGCTTATCAGTTCTACGCGGACGCTAACGAGGCTGATTCCTGGCTGAACGAAAAGACTTCGCTTGTAGCTTCCAACGACTATGGAACTGACGAACCCAGCGCACAAGCTTTGCTGCAGAGACACAAAGATTTGGAGGGTGAAATAAACGCTTATCAAGGCGATATTCACAGTTTGAACACACAAGCCGAGAGACTCATAGCTTCTGGAATATCGCATTTGGATTTGAACACGGAACCAGAAGTGGCGGAAGCTGTAGAGGATGTTCAATATGAGTATAGGTAAATTGTATTATCTTGTATCATTTAGATATTGATTGATTCATTTATTTTTTGGATATTGTTATTTCAGGATGTTACCAACTGAAGTATGGGTGGAAGAACCAGTTGAAAAGACCGAATACAAAATCGTCCAAGAGGAGAGGAAGGTTCCCCAGGTGAAAGCTCTGTACCCCTTCAACGACCACGGCTTGAACATGGTGAAAGGCGAGGTCATGTTCTTGTTGAACAAGAGCAACCCGGACTGGTGGTGCGTTCGTAAAGCAGACGGTACTGACGGATTCGCCCCCGCCAACTATGTCGTTGAAATAGAACCGAGAATCATACTCATGAACCTGAGAAAACCAGAAGTCATCAAAACCGTTCAGAAAGTCAAAAAAACCAAGATGGTCAGGACGAAGGTCCCCATTAAAGTTCTCAGGCAACCATCTAGACCAGTCAAGAGGAAAATCGATGACAGTGACAGCGTACCAAAGAGACAGAAGAAAATCAATGATACTTACGACCAGCTCCAAGATCTTGCAGCGAAAAGGCGTGCCTTGCTAGAAGATGCCGTGAAGTTGTTTACGTTTTACAAGGAATGCGATGACTTTGAGAAATGGATCAAGGACAAGGAGAAGATTCTTTCTGTCGATGATCCGAATGACAGCGTAGAACAGGCGAAGAGGAAATATGAGGTGAGTTAACAAATCACTGATTATTTCAGTATACAGAGTGAATCAGTGATTCATCCTGCTTTTCAACTAAGTTGAGAACTCCCAACATACGGGGGATCCAATAATCGTTGGGTTTATACAGAGTGATTTGGAAGTTATGCTTTTTGGTTGATAGTGAGAAGCAGAGGTGATACACCATGGTTTCCTTTGTTGACTTGATCACCTCGCTTTCGGTTGAATGAGTCGCTCATCAAAAACTTCCCAAGATTTCATAGCTTTGATTCCAAACTAGAACCGTCCAGAACCTTGTCTGGGAAGTACTGGATCCTCACATGGATACATCCAACCCCAATTTGGAGTGTTCATAAGACATTTCCAGATCACAGTGACATGTATCCAAGGCAACCCAAGGAAATTTGTCAAGCAGTCATCATGAGGTTGCCAGATTTGTCATTCCACTCTCTGAAACTGGATTTTTCCCTTCTTCATTTTGATTTTTCTTTCAAAGGAACAAATACAAATGACTCTCTTTTTCCTTCTGCTTGTGTTTATACAGTCCACTTTTTTCTTTCACTCTGATTCCCGAGAGGACTTAGGTGTTAATCTGCATTGAGTATTCAAAGGGGGGTACAACAAGAGATGAAAAATTGTAAAAAAAAAAAGGATTCCATCACATAGTCGTTTATCAAGCCTGCCGATCAAGGGTGTGGAGCGAATAGGTGGTAGAAAGATAGATGGAGCCGGGCACCAGCTTGCAGAGTACCGGCTAGGTTAGGATGGGTTAGGTCAAAATTAACTGGGTTCATCGACCCTCCACCAGAAGTCCTTAAATCTTCTTGCCATCCAGGTGTTCAATGTTTGTTTGGCAAAATCTAAAACGATGCCAATGATAGCTTCTGGTCCGATGAAGCTGCTTACAGCACCCTCCTTTGCAAGGGAGTCAGCAGCTCCATTGCCATTGCCATCAATTTGTTGAGTTTTCCTATTGAGGAGAGTCGTTTTTGGCAATTTGCTACCAATTTAGACGTTGTTCGGTCAGCGCCACGAGCTTCTAACCCCGCTCGACTGTCCGAGAAAATTTTTATTGACTTGTGTATGAGGTTGGGTCACATAGCTCCCTAGGAAGGTTAATATCTTGTTCTGGGTCTGCAACTGAAACCACCTTCACCAGAGTATGAAGGTGTTTTTAATCCATCTGTGAATCAACAACTATCTTGCTCTGAATATTTCCTTCTCCTGGAGGATCCAGTACTCTCTACTTCTGTTTCGAAAGCTAGAACCCGCAATTTTGAATTTCGTTTCAGAAATTCGTCACTGACCTATCAGCTAGTAACAAAAGGATGGAAGGACTTGACGCCGACGTGAAAGAATTCGAAAAACAAAAGAACTCCCAGATCGACAAAGTGAAAGCTCGCCACAGACAAGTACAGGCCGCTTGGCAGAAACTGAACCGACTGAAAGCGCAGAAAGAAAAGAGCTTGGAAGGAGCTAGCAGCGTCGAACTGTTCTACAAAGCGTGCGACGAGGCCAAAGACTGGATGCTCGAAAAAACGATGCAGCTCGACTCCGCAGTTCTGGGACACGACCTCAAAACCGTCGAAGCGTTGAAAAGGAAGCACGAAAATCTCGAGAGAGAACTTCTGCCGGTCGAAGAGAAGGTCCACAAAGTCAACTTGTTGGGAGACGCGGTACAAAAAACTTATCCCAACGAACGAATGAACGTCATCCACAAACAAAAAGAAATCGACGATATTTGGCAGAAAGTAAAAGAGAAATCGTTGGATAGGAGGGCGAGGTTGGAGAACGCCGTAGGCCAGCAAATTTTCACGAACAGCGCCAAACATTTGCTGGGGTGGGTGGCTGATGTTAAGAAACAGTTGAACGCCGACAATGTGGTCAGAGACGTGCAGACAGCCGAGGCACTGCTCAAGAATCAAGAGGATCTCCTCCGAGATATCGAAGCTAAGGAAGATGAGTAAGAAAAATTTTTTTTGGAAAGTTGTGTTGTACCGCCATAATTTTTTTTTAAATTCTAGATTCAGACAGGTTGTAGATTTGGGAAGCAAACTCCTCAGGACTAACCCTGAGTTGGTGGATGTGAAAGACACAGTTGAAAGGTTACTGGCAGAACAGGCGGCCATAGCTAGAGGTTCGAAGGAGAAAGAGCTGTGGCTTCAGCAGTGCTTGGAGTTGCAGCTGTTCAACAAAGAAGCGGATAATATTGATGCTGTAACTTCGGCACATCTGGCGTTTCTGGAGTTTTCTGACCTTGGGGTGAGTTATCTAGCTTTAAACTTATTTCAAGTTATGAGTTTCTCTAATAACAAACTTGATGACTCTTGAATTTTCGAAGACAGGTTTTGAAACGCTTCGAAATAGGTGGCGCTAGTGTGGCATAGTTTAAATTATGTATTTGTTACACAAAAATAAATACATAAATGTCAACAAACACAATGAAAACATGCAATGCAATTTGTATCGAGGGAGGGCAAATGTTCATCTACAGTTATTGATGGCTTTGGAAGTTTATTATTATTAGTTGATATTGCTGCACAAAATTTGACGTAACTGCATACAGTTTTTTTATTAACAAATTCCAGAACTCTCTTGACGAGGTTGAGGCTTTGCATAAGCAGCACAGAGCTTTCGCTAATACTTTATCTGCTCAGGAAGATCGTTTGAATGCTTTCAGCAAAAAGGCAGACGAGTTGATTGCCAAACAGCATTACGACAGCCAAGGGTAATGACTTTGTCTTTTCTCCGATTTCACATAAAACTCCTTGCTCCTACATTTTTGCAGGATCGACGACAGGCGCAATCACGTTTTACAAAGGCGACAAGCCGTCAGGGACGCCTGTCAACAAAGAGCTAACGCCCTCGACGCGTCCAAGAACTACCAAGAATTTCGCGCAGAAGTTCACGATCTGCGCGTTTGGATGGCCGAGAAACTGAAAACAGCTTCCGACGAAAGTTACCGGGACCTTTCCAATCTCGAGAGGAAACTACAGAAGCACGAAGCTTTCGAAAGGGAGCTCAGGGCAAACGAAGGACAACTCAGGACTATCAACAAGCTCGGGATGGCCCTCATCGCGCAGGAGAGCTACAACAAAGATGATGTAGCTAAAACGTTGCAAGAATTGAATAACGAATGGCAGCATCTGGTTGGTATTTCGTTGGAAAAGGGGAGAAGGCTACGTCAGGCCGTTGCCCAACACGGCTATAATAATTCCATTGAAGATGTCAAGACTAAGCTGAATGAAATTGATGAGAATTTGAAGAGCAAGAATGTCGGTACCGACTTGAGGTGAGTATCTTTCAGTGGAGATATTCAGGTCTTCGGTGAACTTGAAAAAAGATAAGAAAGAACTAGTTGAGAAAAAGAGTTTAAATGAAAACTGTTAGTATGTTAGACATACGGGCGTATAATGGTGTATCCAAGTTTCATCTACAGTAGTTAATCGGCGCCAAAACTCGGATTCATTGCGCCTAAACCCAGTTTAGGCGCAATAAATCCGAGTTGGAAATGTTCATTCAAACACTGTGAGCAAACGCGGCACCCAATGCGCAAATAGTTTTCTCATGCCTAAATGTCAATTTAATATGTGACAAACACGTTCATGTGAAATGTTAATAACCTCTGCTATCTCTCTTCGATTCAGCAGTTGTCAAGCACCATTTAGTGAACCTTGGCGATATTTTCATCCGTATTCGCAGTTTTTTAACGTCCTGAACGTTCATCGTCAGTGGAGCTTTCACGGACTCGTTTAAATTGAGCTGCCCAAAATTTCACGGTGGTAAATGTTGGTGCAGAGTCCTCATACACGGAATCCAACTCATCTTTGATTTGCGTAGGCGTATTGCCTTTCGCCGCGTCCACGTGCCTAATCATGTCGTGACTCGCGACTTACTTTGTGATTCACTTTGTTAATTGCATAAATATTAGGTACCTATTGTGATGATATTCAAAAGAAGAATCTACACCTACTCAAATGGACACCCCACTTATTTAAAGTATTTTTAAGGTGCAATTAATATTTTTTCTTAAATAAGGGGTTGTTATGTTGATTATCAATAAGTAAAAATGCCGAAGACTGCATAAAGTTGTGATTTCAAGATAAAAAAATGAAGACTGATTGATTATAATAACGTTTTCTTTATTTTTCCCTCGAAAATAATCCTTGTAAGGAAGTTTCTGTTTCGGTTTCGGCCGAAACTGAGACCGTTGCCGAAATTCGGTTTCGGTCGTAAAACCAGTTTCGGTCGAACACTAAAGGTATTCATTAAGGTTATAAAAGATATACTGGTATTATACCTACGTAATTTTTTAAAAATTTCCTCTTAGGTAATTTCTCAAGGGCGAAAGGTTGAAAATTTTCATTCCTGGGTACAGAGATCCATTACATATTTTCCGATAGTTATATGTAGATAAAGTCACTATTTTGGTAAATAATTCTGATATTTATCGAATATCTTTATGAATTTGCAGTGATACTTGATAATGATATGTGCGTTGGTGAAGGTGAAAATCTTGTGCTACAAAACGTATATTGCAGGTTTCTGAATTACAAAAATTGCTTGTGAAACAGCATAATTTCCCCAAAATTCGGTACTTCTGTTTTTTTAGAACCTCGTTTTAAACGTGGGGTACCCATTTTTCGAAATTTTCGACCTCTCCAATACGTTTTAAACCATCAAAAACCACATGGGACCATGCCCAGTTCTTCCGCTGCCCAATTGAATGGCAACGAAATTATCAGTGAAAATTGAACAATTTTTGAAATTTGGTTTGGCTATGAGAGTGCTGGCACCCATATTTTTCTTTATATTTTCCCAATGTGTAACGAGTCTAACATCAATTCGATTATCTACATTCTCCATTGTCTTTCCATATACCGCATTATTCATTAGTTTATAGAAATCTTTAACAGATTTGTTGTTAGACCTATTACGCATTTCAGTATTAAGATCTATATAGGGTTTCATCCAGCATGATTGTTTGAATTTCAATACTCTATGTGTATTCATTACAATCAATCCATTTTTGACAGCTTGCTGTAGATTCCTATAATGAACAATATATTTTCTTTTATCATTCAAATTTGGAATTAATTTGGGAATTTTCGATTGTGTACGAGGTGGTACACCTCGATTTTGCAGGCTGTTTCGGCAGTGCTTTGCTTCAATCTGAATTCGTACTTCATTCAGAATAATATCGTGCTTCACTCTTCGTCTCTCTTTTCTTCATTAATATTATTGACATGTCAAAGATGACTTTTTTAGTTAATCATTAATTCATTGATTTTTTGTTCAAGATCCTGTCGGGATTTGATAAAACAACACGACTCCCTCGAGAACGACTTGGCATTCAGTGCCAATCGTGTTGACGATCTTGTCAGTCAGAGCCAGAACTTGAGCGACGAAGGCCACTTCGATTCTGACCGCATAAAAGAAAACGCTTTGGCTAGCCAAAAAGTATTGAAAGATCTGTATAAACCAGCTCAGGAAAGAAGGGCAGCTTTAGAGGAAGCGTTGAAGTTTTTCAAATTCAACTTTGAATTGGATGCTGAAATGCAGTGGATAAAGGAGCATCTAGCATTAGCTTCTTCAGAAGAACTAGGTCAAAATCTCCACCAAGCCCAAAACCTTCACAAGAAACACAAGAAGTTAGAAGCTGAAATTTCCGGCCATCGACCAGTCATCGATAAAACTTTGGAGACTGGGCAAGATCTGATCAACATCAATCATCCTGAAGGAGCAAAGGTGAGAGCTGTAACTTTATTGAATAGTTAGAACGAACTATTTTCGGGTATTTCTTATAGATTTCGGACCTGTGCAGTACTCTACAGAATGCTTGGGAAGAACTCGAAGACAAGGCTAACCAACGAGCTCAGAAACTGGACCTGTCTCTGAAAGCTCAACAGTATTTCTTCGATGTGAACGAAATCGAGTCTTGGTTGAACGAAAAAGCTGCAATTCTGTCCAGTTCTGATTATGGCAGAGACAGAGACTCTGCCACAAAACTGTTGACTAAACACAAGGTGAGAATAATTTATTTAAAAGTAGTTGTTTCAAGAAGGGTTCATCTTCAAGTTTCTGCCTGAAAGTTACTCCTTTATGGCATTGAAAAAACGCTAATTGTAACGCCCGTTTCAGGCTTTAGAACTGGAACTAGATACCTACAACAATATAGCTTCGGAAATGGGGCATATCGCGCAAGCAATGATCAAATCCGGGCATCCTGACTCCAAAGCTATCGGCGAACGACAGTCCAGCTTGGAACATCTGGTGAGGTCGCTCCAAAGAAAGGCAGCCCTCAGACAGCATAGACTGATGGAGTCTCTATTCCGACATGAATATTTTGCTGAATCCGAAGAACTTGAAACTTGGATAGCCGAAAACCTCCAGCAGGCTTCTTCAGAAGATTATGGGCAGGACTACGAACATTTAATAGTAAGTGTATGAGCGACATTCCGGGTGAATTATTAACGATTATTTTTCAGCAATTGAAAGCCAAGTTCGACGATTTGAAGCACAGAATCGAAACGGGGTCCGAGAGATACAGGCAGTTGGACGATTTGGCACAGAAATTGATAGCGAACAACAGTTCTTATACTTCTGATATCCAGAAAAAACAGCTGAAACTGGAGTGAGTAGTTGAAATCATCCTTTTTTTCCAGTGTTTTTAGCGTAGTTGAGGGGGGAATATATTGCATGTTGCATGACATGAAATTAAATGAGAAACTCTTGAAATTCGAATATTCATTAAAATTTTCAGCCTCATGATTATTTCGGATTTGGTGAGTAGCTACGGATATAGTTGCAAAAGTTATAGTGACTTTATAAACATACAATTACATATACAGTCCATTTCTTTAATGCCCCCCCCCTTTAATTTTTTGAACAGGTCAACTCAAAAAATTGAAATTTGGGATAATGAAATTAATGTGATTAAGAAACTATTTGATACTACTTTTCCCGGTCGTTGGATTGGCCGTCGAGGTCCTACAGAATGGCTAGCCCGCTCGCCAGATTTGACACCTTTGGAATTTTAATAATAATAATAATACTTTTATTGCAAAACGATCATCACAGGACAGAGCAAACGTCAGGTACAGGTTTAAAAAAGCAAGTTAAAATGTATTTACAATGTCTATAAATCGGGGGGGATGAAAATATTTAAATATTGAGGTACAGTACAAATCTTAAAATCTTAAAACAGTATTCTAATACAAAGACAAGAATTTAAGTATACAGCTGAATTTAAAAATCTGAGAAGCACAATTGAAAGAGTATCTAAAACTAATACACATTATTACATCCAACAAATAAAAGAATAACTTATGACAGAACTCCCGAAAAAATAATTCCAACCAAACAGGTATCACTCTTTGTTCTTTAACTATCACAGTCTTGGAAATAACATCACATTTTCCACTATACTAACTGGTGTTGGAACTAACTTTCAGATCTGAACTTTCTTCTGAGGCTTCCCTAGAAGTGCAAGAGAAGCACAAAATAGTAAGGTAATCAAATTTTTTACTAATATCCTACTAACGGTCTATTTGAAATTGTATCTTTATCCCGTGCCTCGACGTTGTTAATTTCAATTTATACAGGCAAGCGTGGGAGAATCTACACAACCAGATGAACATGAGAGAGCAACGTCTTGACGCAGCCGGAGAGATCCACAGATTCCACAGAGACATCGAGGACGCTTTGCAGAGAATTCAAGAAAAGAAAGCCGCCCTGGGTACCGACTTGGGGCGCGACCTGAATTCCGCCATGGCGCTATCTCGAAAACACGAGGTCTTCGAGAACGAGCTCGTCTTTTTGGAGGCTCACTTACAAGTGCTCGTAGAGGAGGCTTCCAGATTGCAGAAAGTTTACCCGAGTAACAGGACAGTCATACAGAACAAGCAACAGCTAGTTGTCGAAGCTTGGAACGGCCTGAAGGAAATAGCGGACTTGAGGCGAGATCAACTGCAGGCCAGCGTCGACTTGCAGAAGTTCCTGACGCAAGTGAGGGATTTGATGAATTGGGCCACCAGTTTGAGGTTGAGGATGAGCGCAGAAGAGACCGTTAGAAGTGCCGCTAGAGCGCAGATTTTGAGGAACGAGCACGAGGCTCTCAAGGGGGAGATCGAAGCTAGAGAGGCGAGTTTTCAGGATGTGGCTGAGAATTTGGCTGCAATGGAACAAACTGGTAAGTAGTTTTGCTTAGTAGCTCATGAGTAGTGAATATATTCCTAGCCATGCAGGCTTCATGGGCTCCAATCATCTGAAATATTAATTCCACCAAAAACAGAGTCAGATTTGAGCGCCTGGATAATCTTAACTATACTTCTGCCCTTTCAGGCAATGACTTATTATTCTGTTTAGAGAACGTATTTCTTTCCATCCTCTACTGCTGAAATTTGATGCCTCCCGAAGTTCCCTGGTGAGACGACATCCTGATTTATCGTTTTTTTGCTGATTTAAGGTCCGCCCATTCTATGAATATCGATTTGGTTCTCATAAAAGTTCATTCTTTGCAAAACTCAAATCCACGTTGTTTAGAGTACATTGGTCATGTATACGTCTCTAGTAATTCCAATCAATATTCTTCAATGAGTTCTTTATATTCTGACTATTAAAATTAGTTGCTTTGTCGACATGGTGGATTTTAAGAAACAGTTAAAGCCTTTGCAAGTCACATAGTTTCATTGAACTGAAACTATTCCCACTTGGTGAATTAAGCATGAATGTAACTGATACTTTCAGACTCATTCACCAAACAAGTTTATTGTTACTATTTCAGGCCATTACTCAGCTCCTGAAGCAGTTGAGAGATACAAAAACCTCATGCAAGAAAGAGACAAACTGCACAACACTTGGCAACTGAAAAAAATCCACTTGGACCAGTTGTGCGACTTGCACATATTCTTGAGGGAAGCCAAGCTCATAGAAGATGCCACCAACGCTCAAGAAGCTACTTTAGCCAACGTGGATATCGGAGAAACTGTTGATGAAGTCACAAACCAATTCAAGAAGCACGAAGCCTTCGAAAAAGTAATGAATCTCCAAGACAAAAACCTAGAAGCACTACAGTTATCTGGGACTAAATTATTGAACCAAAACCACTTCGACAGCGATCAAATATCTAAGAGATTAGCGGAGATACACGCTAAACGCAAACGAGTTCATCAGCTGTGCGCCCAAAAACGACAACTTCTTACCAACGGGTTGCTCTACGCGGAATTCAATAGAGACGTGAGCGAGGCCCAAATGTGGATCGACGAAAAACAAAAGAAACTCAATGCGGCCGCCAAGACAGGCGAGTTGACCAAGCTGGAAGACAAGATAAAGATGCTCCAGAAGCACCAAGCGTTCCAGGCAGAAGTCACAGCTAATGCTGGCAGGATAGAGGAAATCAAAACCAACGGAGAAACTCTCATCAGAAAGAACCATAAAGCGTCTCAAGACATAGCCGACCAGCTATTTGAGTTAGATAAGGCATGGAATCGACTGATTGGTGAAATGAATCTGAGAAGCAAGGGTCTCGAAGAAGCTCAGGGCATTCTCGAATTCAACAACCAGTTAGATAAAATAGAGACCTGGATCAGGGATAAGGAGGTTATGATACAAGCTGGCGACACTGGGAAGGACTACGAGCACTGTCAGATCTTGCAGCGAAAATTGGACGACGTCGATAGCGACATGAAGATAGACGACAACAAAATCAAGGCTATAAGTGTTTTGGCCGACAAACTAGCGAGGCAGGGACATACTGGCGTTCAAGAACGGGGTGAAAACTTCAAGAAGAAGTGGTACTCTTTGCAGGGGGCTTTGAATAAATACCGAAGTGAGTTGGCGGCTGCCGCAGAACTTCATCTGTTCAATCGCGACATTGCTGATACACTGGATCGAATACAGGAAAAATGTACCGCGATGGAGTCTGAGGATGTTGGCAAAGACCTGGCAGCCGTCGAAGCCCTCCAAAGGAAGCACGAAGCAACCGAGATGGAAATATCGGCGATAGAGAACAAGATCGTTCAAGTACATCAAAAAGACGCGCTGATGCTTAGCGAAAAACACCCTCATAACATCAAACAACTGGAAGCTGCACTGGGATGTTTGGAGGAACAATCGAATAGGCTATCAGCAGCCAAGGATAAGAGAAAACAGTTGTTGAAAACCGCTTATATTCAGGAGAGGTTTTTGGCGGATGTCAAGGAGTTGGAGCAGTGGGTCCACGATACCATCAAACGCATGGATTCTCAGGATAAACCAAACACCATTGCAGAGGCTGAGGCTCAGCTCGAACTGCAAAACGAACTGAGGGCCGAAATCAACGGACGAGACGAGTCTTTCAATACTCTGATACAGTACGGAAAGAACTGCCCTTTGAAAAACAATCCTAAAATCATTGAGAACGTTAAAAAACTCGAGGATCTGCAAGAGCTCATCCACAATGCTTGCGAGGAGCACAAAGACAGACTGTCTCATGAATATGACATCCAGGACTTTAAGGAGCAAGTAAATCACCTGAACAGCTGGCTGGCAACCAAGGAAGCTTTCTTGAACAACGATGACGTCGGAGACACCCCCAGAGCGGTCGAAGCTCTGCTCCGTAAGCATCACAACTTCGAGGTTATGCTCGACAAGCAACTGGAGAAAGTGGACGAGTTGGAGAAAGTCGCCAGCAGAATCATGGCTGATCCTAACAAAAATAGTGAAGAGGTCTCCAACAAACTAGCAGCTGTGTTCAAGAGAAAGGACAAACTTCTCATGAAATCCGAGGAGCGGAAAGATACTCTAGAGAAATCCAAAGCCCTGCAGGAGTTTTTGAGAAACGTGAACGATGTGGAGAACTGGCTGAATCTGAAACTGCAAATTGCGGCAGATGAGTGTTACAGGGAGCCGAGTAATCTACAGAACAAAATACAGAAGCACGCAACTTTCGAGGCTGAGGTTATAGCCAGCGGCGAGAGGATTCAGAACGTCGTTGAAGAAGGAAAGGAGCTCATAGCCGCGGATCATTATGCTGCTACGGAGATCGGCATCAGGCTCGACGAGTTAGAGAATGACTGGAAGCATCTTTTGGAACTGTCCACACTCAAACGTGACAGGCTCAGTGAAGCATACCAAGCGCTTCTGTTCAACCGCTCCCTGGAAGAGTTTGAAGCGTGGCTGAATGAAGTAGAAGCACAAGTAAATAACACGGATACCATAAAAGATCTAGCAACTGCAAACAACTTACTCAAGCGTCATGCCATCTTGGAAAAGGACGTTCAGCAACACACCGAGAATTGCGAAAACATCAACGAAGCTACAGAACAGTTCATCAAAGGGGGTCATTTCATGGCGAACGAAATCGAAGAGAAGGCGCAAAAGGCGATCACTAGGTTCCATCAGCTCAAAGGCCCCTTGCAAACTAGGAGAGACCTGCTTGAGTCTTCCCTGATGCTGCATCAGTTTTCCAGAGATATCGACGACGAGGTTCAGTGGCTCTTAGACAGAGAACCGCTTGCTGCGTCTCGCGACCTCGGTAACAATTTGACGGCCGTACAGAGTTTGCAGAAGAAGCATCAAGCTTTGGAAGCCGAACTTGCGTCGAGGGAGCCTATAGTTGAGGCTCTGTTTGTTCGGGCAGATCAATTGATGAGATCGGGACGAGCGTCTGGACCTGTTATAAGCGATCAGGCTACTCAGCTTAACCAAATGTTTATGCAAGTGAAGGATTTGGCCAGTATTAGGAGGTTAAGACTTCAGGATTCTCTGGAAGTACAAATGGTGAGTTTTTAATATTGTCAATAAGGATTTTTTTGAAATGATGACTTCTTATGGGAGGGTAAACCGCTTCGTTATATAACGCGTAACGACGCCGGTCTGTCTGGCTTCCCTTCCTTCGCTAGCCGTATTTCGGACAGACGTTTCTCTCTCCTCGCTTCGCATGGTTTAGTGTTCAATGTGCAATCGACATATACTGTTACACAAAGTAATCAATAAAGGATTTTACTGATAAATAACGCTTCCTCACATCATCAGATTAATTAACATACAATTTATGAAATAACCTAAGCTTGTCTTAAGTTAAACAATGCCAGTATTAAATAGTTCAATAGTTTAAGTTATCACTTCTGTCGGGCGTCCCGAGACGCACACTTTTTTTTATATTCTAAGATATCTTCATTCGGATAAGAAATATTGAAGTTTTTAAAAGAAATTAGGAGTTTTCAAAAATCCCTTTCAAATAAGAATGATTTCAAGAAATTACTTCACCAAAATGAATTGGAATATGTATACATGTAAGTGCCGAATCTTATCTTGATAAATCCTTCTTAAATTTTTGAATTATGGCACAAATGATATATTTTTGGGAAATGGTAGCCATGAGTTACAGAATCGCAGTAATCATGCCTACTTTTATTAGAGATATACAGATGTAGTAGGGGTTGGTGTTGAAATTGCTTTTTTATACAGTTCTATCAAGAAGTGTCAGAAGCAGAGGCATGGATCAGCGAAAAACGCCCTTTCCTTGCGAGCAAAGAAGTAGGGAAAGATGAAGATACAGCGCAATCTTTGCAGCGCAAATTAGAAGCCTTATCTATGGAAGTCAAAACATTTCAACCGACTATCCAGAAGCTTTCCAAAATGGCCGACAGCCTTATAGAAAGGGATCATTTCGACTCTGAAAACATAGCAGCAGCTAAGGTAAGACGTTGTCTTGGTTTAAGTTGATTTTTGAATAACTTTCCAATTTCAACTCACAGGACGATCTGGAAAAAGAATTTGTAGGTCTCCGCAAACTCGTATCTGAAAGAGAAGTTCGTCTCTCGGAAGCTTTACAGTATTTCGGATTCCTCCACGAATGCCTAGAAGTACAAGACTGGATGAGAGAACAGATGAACAAGACAGATTCCGAAGAATATGGTGATGACTTGGAACACGTAGAACTTCTCATCCAAGCTTTCGACACATTCCATGCCAGTTTATTGAACAGTGAACCCAGAGTACAGCAGTGTATCGATAACGGAAACATCATCATAGGTGCAAAGAGCAGCTACAGTTCGGTAGTTCAAGAGAAAGTCAACGATCTGCAAACCACCTGGGAGGATCTGATTGAATTGGCGTCTGCGCGGAAAGAAGCTCTGGCTGGAGCTAAACAGGTCCACGTGTTCGATAAAACTGCAGAAGAGGTTATTTCTTGGATACAGGAGAAGGAAGCTGATGTAACGTACGAAGCCTATATTGAAGACTCGGAAGTTATTGAACAGTTGATGAGGAAACATCAAGCTCTGGAGACCGAGATAAAGGCTATCAAAGATAAGGTCGATTTTATCGAACAGGAAGGTGATAGGCTCATTGCTGAATTTCCGGATACTAAGGATCACATTGATGATAAGCGAGAAATCACCGTAAGCGCCTTAGAAGATCTACAGACGAAAACTGAACGACAGAAGGATTTCTTGCAACAGTCCGAGCAATTGCAGTCATACTTCGATGGGTATCACGATTTAGTGTAAGTATATTATTGAGTTTCTGGCGAGCTTATCAGTTACTTTATAAGTTTGAAATATAACGGTATCATAAAAATTGATTCGCTATATTTCACCTATTTATTTCACAGCTATACGCCAATGATTTCACAGTTACTTTCTACTCTGTGTCAACGGTGCTATGAAATAACTAGAGTTGGGGCAGCATCAAAAATATATTACATGAAACATACTTTTATACAAATGATAAACGAAGACAATACAGATTTCAGCTTGAACACAGTTATATCAAAGGAAGATAGCTAACGGCACCGCTTTAGATGGCCCATGCGCAAGGTCCAAATTTGGCACAATCTCTCTAACATATCGACCGGTATTTCACGTATAAATGTTTCAATATTGGCTTCCAGAGCGTCAGTCGTTACTGGTTTATCCCTGTAGACATGAGCTTTAACATGACCCCACAAGAAATAATCCGAAGGCGTTAAATCACACGATCTAGGCGGCCAGAGGTCCAGTTGCTGCGAACGGCGGCGAATCGACATTTCACGGTCATCACGAACACTGGTGGATACAGCCGCAATATTTTCTTTGGTCCTCACTCTACGTATGAGTGTTGGTGGTTTAATGTCTAATAATGTAAACTGGGTTCGAAATTTAGTCACAAGCTTCCGAATAGTTCCTTCAGTAGTCCGACGAAACTGCCCATAAATTGGAAGAAGTGCACGATGCACTTTCTTCACCAAGCATGAATTTTGATAATAAAATTCAATAATTTGCAAGTCGATTCATGGTTAAATTATAGATCAAATTAAACAAGTTTGACAATGACACAAGACACGATTCACGCGTGATCAATTAAAAACATTGTTTCCAAAAAGATACTAGCAAAAAAATCACTCATTATATAAACGTGAGTTGTCGGCAATTTCTCATGTTTTCAGACCTAACAATGACTTTTTACCATTGTTTAACATATTGATGTTTTCATTGTAGTTTCTACGGTTGGAAGTCTTTTGTACTACAAAAATTGTGGTTTTCACCACTAATAAATTCCAGTCATTTCACATTTCGGAGTAAGTAAATTTTATATCGTAACGTACATTACATAATAGGGGTAACTAATACTCATGTGCTAAAGACACAATATACAGGGAGATGTTGATGGAACAGATAGGAAGCGCTTAATGAAAATATAATTTATTTACAGAATAATCGTTCCTTTGCCCACTTATATCGGATTCACAAATTTAAGATGTATGTGTAATCTTTCATTGCCTCAAGTGTAAATGCCAACAGTTCGCTTATTCTATCATTTATATCTTTTCAATACTCCAGGAAGTATGTATCTTACTATGGTTATGTCTTACTCAATCTTGAGTTTTCGAGATTGAGAATTGTGGGTAGATTGTGGCGTTTGTAACAGAATATTTTCGGTCAAGTGACTTATCTATAGGTACAACTTTCACATCTCTTTACAGAGCTTGGATAAATGAGATGTTGGCCAAAATAACCGCACCGGACTTGCCACAAGATTGCACAGAAGCCGAACTGCTGATGGAAAGACACAAGGACTACAAGACAGAAATGGACGGGCGCCTGCCTATTCTTGAGCAGTTCTACGAAAGCGGCCACGTCTTCATCAAACAAGGCCATTACCTGTCTCAGGAGATCGAGGATAAGATAAAAGTACTTCAGCAGAGGATGGAGCTCCTCGACAACACTTGGAGCAAACGTAACATCATCTACCAACAAAATTTGGACGTTCTCCTCTTCAAACGGGAAGCCGACACCTTAGAAAACTGGTTGGCGGTCAGAGAAGGAAACCTGAGCTATTCGAAACTAGGCGACAGTATTCCTCAGGTTGAAGATTTGATAAGAAAACATCGCGACTTCGAGGAAGCCATCAAAGCTCAGGAGGACAAGTTCAACGCTTTGAAACGAATGACGCTGGTGGAGGAAGCCTTCGCGGATCAGAAACATCGCGAAGCTCTCGCTCAGAAGTCGGAAAGGGAGAGGGTGGAACAGGAGAGATTGGAGCAGCGCAAGCGGACAGAGATGGCAAGGATAACGGAATTGAGGCGTCGGGAATCTCAAGAGAGAGCACAGCGTCATCACGACATTCCTGAAGATAAAGTCAACGGAAGTATGGTACAAATACAGGACGTTCAGCAACCGAGCACGCCTCCTGTTGTCAAGCCTGTTGTTCCTGTCAGAAAAACCAACTCGGTAGCTCACATGTTCGACCGAGATCGTATGAGGAGAGGTTCTGATGCTTCTGTCAAACGGGCTGAGAGTATGAAAGTTGGAGGGTCCAAACCACCAAAGAGGACTCCTTCGTTCAACACCAGGAGAAGAGGCTCGTTGCGTTCCAAAAACGCAGGTAATATAATTTATTTCAGATCATTGAGAAAGAACTAGGTCAATTTAATCCTTCTTTACATGCATCCCTAGTTATGAAACACTTACTGAACCTTCAAATACTAACGTTCCACACCTGACACCAAATTGACAATTTTCAGAGGCAGTTTTGCCGCCAGTTGAGGCGGAGGCTTTCTTGGATAGGAAACAGCTTCTGCTTCCAGGAGGCAAGAGGGCGACCAATCGGGCTTGGAAAAACTCCTACACCGTATTGTGTGGCCAGTTGTTGTGTTTCTTCAAAAGCAAGGACGATTTTGCTGCTAGTAAAGCCAGCTCTCCTCCGCTCAACATCCATAACGCCGTATGTTTGGTGGCTGACGACTACCACAAAAAGAAACACACGTTTAGGCTGGTTATAACGGACGGTTCAGAATTTTTGTTTACTTCCAACTCCGAAGTGGATATGATAGACTGGATCAACAAGATCACTTTCAGGGCCAAATTACCTCCGGCGCAGCAGCTGCTTCATTTTGAAGTTTCTAGGGTGAGTAGAGTGTCTGACAAGTCCTCATTTCCCGAGTCCTTGTTACTAAAGTGGTTTGATGTTTTTTTCAGGATCCCAATGATTTTGAAGTCAGTTCCCAATCCAGTAGGACCTCGAGTCCCGATGTTGCAGATTCAGTAGTTTTGAGGCACGACCCTCAATCAACCAATGGAAGCCTAGCCTCTTCTCACTCCAGCCGACATACAATAGGTAAGATGGAAGATTGATTTTAATACTCAAAACTTATATTTGGTGATGATAGTAGATTATAAAAAAAATGATTTGATATAGTATAGAAATTGATAAGGTTTTGTTTTTATACTGTGACTTGTAGCTAGTCAACTACGGTCCTCAGAGCGAAACTAAACTTAATAATTTGATGATGTTTCCCAAAAATGAATTTCTGGAAAAAAAATCGGAAATATATGTCGTCTGTTATTAGGAGGAGATATCGACGTGATATCAGGGTCAGATCTCATTAAAATATTAAGGAAATGGAATAAGGGGAATATATTTTTTTCGGCAGTTCAATAAAAGGTGACTTGCCACAAAAAACTGAGATAACTGATATCTTGGAAATATATGTAAAAAACCTAATAACATGATTGAATCAACCCAAAGCAAGCACTCCAAACACCACCACTAATTAATATAGTTCATCTCCTGAAGACGCCAACTTGGTTGAAGAAACGCACGTCTAGAAGAGTCTTGCAATTCTGGTGTTTGAGAACATTTTTTGTTTTGTAATTATTCTAGTTGATTTATAAAAGAAATATATTTGTATATAAATGTATGTTGAAAAATTCATTTAAAAATGATGGCTTGTATATATTCTTCTAAACAGTAGAATGTAAATATTTGTTGAAAAACTTTTGGTGTTGATGAAGAATTTATTTAAAAGAATAATAATTACATGAAGTATAGGAGACATAATGTTATAAGTGTATTTGAATTGCTAAAATACATTAGGTTACTTCTGACACAAAGAACAACAGCAACCTGTGCCTTGTTAAAAAGTACTTAATAATTTTTACCTGAGTATCCTTTTTTATAACACGTGACGATCTATTCCAAAAAAGGATCTCGTTTTGGTTTCGTAAAAGCAAAAAACTAATATAGTGGATACAGTGGTGCATCCTTTTGACTGAATGAATCATCGCCACCGTCTTCTCAGTGAGCAAGTGTAAAATGCCAATCGCTAGGTGGAATGGCAGCACAAAATTTCTTATAAAAAGCATTTCCCCCACTCCGACTTGATGTCAAAGGGCAAACCTCATGTTCAAGGTTGAATGACGTGCTAACGGCTCAAGGTCGTTTAGACCCTTCAAGGTCATATGACGTGTGCATAGCTCGAGGTCGCGTGATGTCATTCAAGGTCATATGACGTTTACATAGCTCGAGGTCGGGTGACGTCTTTCAAGGTCAAGTGGTGGGGGAGGTTCAGAACCGTCATTAGCATCCTACTACATGATATCAAAACTTTTGAAACAACCTAATATATGTACCTCATGGATCCCTCATTGCGTTTCTAGAATTCATTCTCGATTAGTTTAGTTTGAGTCTATCAGAAACTTTAAAACAACACAGAATATTAAACAATAACTACATGATCACATAAGAGACTACTGAGTAACAACGAACACAAGACAAGACATGACTGAAGACAACGAATAAATAGGCGCAGGCACAATTGCTTGAACCATAATTGAGCTAAACCCGAGGGCATTCAATATTCCCGACCCGCCGTGATGAGGTTACATATATAAGAATTCAAATGTATGTTTATGTAATATTTGGTAGATAATTCATGATATATTTTAACTTCAGTATGTGCTACACATAGTTTTAAGATATCCTACAAACTATTTAAGGCATTCAGATGTATGGTAAAAGAAATCAATTGGTTCCAAATCAGGACAGTGCGACGCAAGATCTAGTAGGTTATTGAACGAAATGTTTCGGCTGGACTGAATTTTTCTTGGATTTGATTCATATTGAAAACATACATACACTGCTGATCAACACCCCTATAAGTACTTTATCCATACAGATCTTTTGACGCACACCCATTGTATTTCTTGAACATTTTTTTGATATAAGATCAATGTACAGAACATCATCATTGTCTTCACAGTGACAAAGAATGAGGCTCCGTTGCCCAAATTGGAAGTCTGTTGATCCATGCAGTCCGGGTTTGATAACCTGCAGCAAAAGTTGTAATAAAACAGAGCACGAAAAGTTTCACCAATTGATTCCATTAACATAATTTTTAAATGAACTGAATTGCAACAAAACCGTTCAGAAGAAACTTTGCAGTAGAACCGTCAGATGGCATTTAGCAAATCGGTATCGCTAGAAGTGGCAAATGTTCTTAATTTGTGTATGAAAAATATTCATATAGAGCTTAATTACCCAATGTATCATTTACCATTATAATGTAACTAACATTCACTGGAAAATACATCATTTAATCTACTAATGTAGGGGAGAGTCCGCCGCCCCTGCCAATGACAGATCCTCCGAATAATTACGGCCCCAGGATGAGTACCCCTGAGAACAGCGGACATGTTTACGGTTAGTTTTTGCATGATGGAAGCTGCTGACAACATTAACTTGGCACCACTCTCACTAACTCGTTTGATTTTCAGCTCTCTTCTCTCACCTGTCTACACTATTAAAATTGCTTTCTCTTCCTCTATACAGGGTAATACACTTATCTCGTTATTCAGACTGAGTGATATTTTCTGACGAATTGAGAAAATAGGCAAAACTTGCTTGAGAAGTGACATGATGATTTTGATTTGTTGAGAAGCGATATAAAAACAATTCACGAATGTAATGATTTCGAGTTAAATCAACTGATAGACATCTCCTTTTACAAAGACTCCATCTATGTCACTAACAGAAGAAAACAAATAGGCTGAAAGACGAATGCAATGCTGGGCTGAACAATCCTTAACGACAAGCCTCAGTAGAAGACAGGTAGAAGACAAATATCTTTCCGCAGCCGATGTCGAAGCTCGACTTGAGTCTTGTGTCGATCCTATAGATGGCGCCTTTGTAAGAAGAGATGGCATGTCAAAACAGCGTTGCCTGATGTAATCAGAAATGTGACGATTGTCTTGTTTCAAACATCTGAGATTCTGAATGAAAATCTCATAATGATTTTACTTTGTAAGTGCATTACCCTTTCTGTATAATTTATTTTCTTTGCAGTGATGGATAGAATGTTATACTAATTTTTATTTCAAATTAAACGTGCTGACCTCTTCAATTATTTCAAGGGTGATTTTTTCATTTGATTCCTGAAAAGTTATCTTTCGTCAATAGCTTCTCATACTGTATTTTTTTTCTAAGCCCATCAACGAAGCAAATAGTACTAGATGTGGTTTGAGAGGACTATCTGTGAATAATAACTCCTCAGCTTTTTATTCTGATGGATGATTGGTGCTTGATTTCACCTGTTTGGTGGAATATTTTTCAACTTTCTATTTCAGACAACATTCTTTCGGTGAAAATGGTATTATAAGCATCAATCATTCGGTCATTGAAATTTCCATTCAACGAAATGTGTTGAAAATGATATTGATGAAATCGTTTTGATTTAGATGCGTATGGAAATGTGTCCCAGAAGCAGGATTGGCAGACTACTTCTTCGTCCAGACCTTTGAGTTCACCGGATTCGAAAAATATGTCCCATCGGTTGAGGAATCTGTTTGGTCGAAAGAATCGCAACTCCTAATGTGGCTTGGAAATCAGTATTTTTAATTTTGCAAACGACTCATTGACTGTAGATGCGGTTTTCTCAAATGATGTGAACCATATATTTCCATCAATTATTGACTTGAATTTTTTATTTTAGGCACCTAGAGTACGTTTATTGCAAGAAAAGTTTATATTTTATTCATGTATACATACAGGATGCATCATTTTTTATGATTGTGTTAAATAATAGTTTTTTTTCAATAATAAAATTACTCATTGAATTACGAAGGATAATTGAGAGTTTGTATTTTTGAATATCCCAGTGAAATATCTTATTTTGTCGATTTTTTGTGTTACAAATAATTCATTATCATTCAAATGAAACATACTATATGTATATATTTCTGTTTATAATGTAGTTAGTTTGTAAATAAAATTTATATGAAAGTATATATGAACCAAATTTTGATAAATATTGATTGTATTGATTTCTATTCGAAAATATACATGATTGAATAAAATGTGTTTCGAATTGATAAAACAATATAAATACAAAAATTGATTCTGAGTTCTGTTTTCCTTTGGCGGAGTAATATTGTCCGAAATGGAATACATACAAATTTAATACACACTAAAATTACTTCCCATAAGTTGATTTCCCCATTTAATTTTCTCATTAGAAATTATGTTTCCTTTTGGAAATTTATCACTCAATATCATGTGGGTGTTCCAGCAATGACACTGAAAATAATAATGAAAATCAGTATTCTTAAATTTTTATTCAAAAATGACAAACTTTTTTTGTTTCTCACTGCAAGTTGTTTGATATTTTCATAGATGACGTCATAGTGTCGCCATATTGAATTTGGAAAAAATGGCTCCTATGCCACAATTTTAAAATAAAATGGTTACTTGTGTTATATCATTGAAAATGGACTAATAAAATACAGGATTCTATTCTTCAAGAAACATTGAATGTTTCTGAATAGGGATTATTAACTAAATTAAATTAAGATACAAAGTTAACAAAATAATGGAATATTGAACAAGAAAACACAAGTAATTGATGAGAGCAGTGAACATTAAACTTATTGACAGGTATTCAAAACTAAAATATGAAAAATGATACATAATTGAATGAAATACCAATAGAATAAAAAATATGGGCAGTCAAATGTGAAATTTTCATAGTTAGTATAAAATATTTTGATTATTCTGGCTATATGGAAATCAAATAATACTGTTTTTTTCTTTAATTCATTAAATATTTCTTCAATTGATTTTTGAATTTGAAAGCAGTTTTAGATTCTTTTATTTCTTCAGGATCCCAATGGTGAGGGCCGAATTTGAAACCCTGTATATTGTAATTCCATTATAATAAATTGATTTCTCGTAGAGGTTTACTTTCCGGCTGAACCAAAATAGGTTTACGGTTGTTGTTTCATTAGAAATGTATTTTGATTGAGGCAGATTTTCTCATCAAATATACTTTTTTCGTGAATCCACAAGTTGAGAAAAATCCTTGCTGACCCTATTAGGGGACACACTGTTTATTGCCATTTTTTTGAAAGAATGTTTTTGTTGATTTTGCTGTAATCTAGATAAGGTTTGGTTGAACTCATTAAAAAAATGAACTGCTGGTAATAAAAGTAATTAGACTAATATAATCTTGAATTATCAGAAATGTTAATGATTTTGTGCACATTTTGAACCTCTGACTCTTGAAGAGTCCACGATAGGTGAATAAGGTTGCTAGAAGCTGGAGTTCAGGGCCGGACTTGGATTATTATTTGGGTGGGGCAGGGTTTGCTCCGGCCCTGCCTGGGTTCAAGCGTTTTGATGTCTAGCTTTAAATGGCCTTGTTGAAACTTGCAGGTACGTAAAAATCGATTTCTCACTTGCTCACTTCTTACTTTTGATTGGTGTAATAATAGTTATCCACAACCACATATTTTCCCTTCAAAAAAGTGGCAACCCTATAATTGAAGTGAAATGTAAGTTTTTACGTAAGTGGACCTGATATATTATATATTGGAATGATTTTTAAAAAAGTAACAGAGTTTAAAACAATGAAAAATTCAAAAATTTATTGGGAAAAAATCTCAAGAATGTGTACCATCAATTTTTTTCAATATGATCAAAATATAGCTTACATAGATTCATATTCTACATAAATACATATTCAAACACAATTATCCATTTAATACAATAAATCAAATTCATAGTGGATAAAACAAATAGTCAAAAATACATTTCATAATTTTTCATCACTTTTATTGTCTTTACTTTCATTTCCTTCAGTTTCGTTTTGCCTCCTCTTTGATAACATTCCCGGTCGATATATGGCAATGGTGGGCCTATCTTTATTTCTTATCCTTTTCTGACTCTGAACATCGGGTTCTTCTTTCTTCACATCTTTTTCCACTTTTGGCTTTGGTGGCTCCTTTTTCTCGTTACTTATACCAGGTTTTTCTTGAGGGGGTTTCTGAGTGTCTGCTTGAGGGGGTTTCTGAGTGTCTGCTTGAGTCTCGTTCAATGCTTGATTGATCTTCTTTTGTTCTGCCTTTTGAGCCTCTATTTTTCTCTCTTCTCTTTTTTCACTATACTTTTTCACTTTCTTGGGAAATACTTTTGTCTCTACTTCTTTTCTGTAATCGGTTTTAGAACGGGTTTCCTTCTCCTTGTGGTCATCATATTTGTAGTCACGATTGTCATAATAATCCTTCTTAGGGTACCTATAATGGTAATATCAAGTTATTTCTGTATAATGGGTATATAGAAAAAAGTCATATAAAACTCCAAACATAGAAAAAAAAAATGTTAAAAATTACCTAGGTTTTATATCTTTGCGCCTATCTTCAAATCTCCGTTCTTCATACTTTCTCTCTCTGCTTTTATAATAGGACTTCTCGTAAACTTTTTCACTCTTCTCTTCAACCTTTGTTTCACTTTCCCCTTCTGCTTTTGAATTATCCACCTTAGGTTTGGGCCGAATCTCGGGATTTGTTGCAGGTGACTTTTCATCGTTAACTCTTTTACGATCTTCTACGAAACGATCTTTTCTCTTGTCAAATTCTCTTCGTTTCCTTTCTTCTCTTCTGACTTCTCTGATCCTCATTCGTTGGGCTTTTTTATTTTTAATGAATTCTAAGAGGGGAGTAGTAACATCATTTTTATTTTCATTAGTCAACTGAAGAGTGTATTCTGGTTTTTCTTCAACAGGCTCTACAGGTTTTTGGAGAGATTCAACAAATTCGGTGTAAATTGGGTCAGACTCGATGCTTCCTGATTTTGGATCAATTCTTGTCTTTCCTCGCTTTTTAGGGATCTTTTGGAAAGGGGCGAATTCCACCACACATGGATATTCATTGCCCTTATTGTCTAGGAACACATAGTTATCAAACCTTTCCTTAAAATCGTATATATCCTCGTGATTGACAAAGTTAATATAAACTCTTGAGAAGGCAAACTCTCCCAGAGAAAAGTCTCCATTTACAGTGTATATGTAATTGTAGTCAGGTAAGGGAGAGACTTGTTTTAAAAAAGTGTCTTTATCTATAGTCGGAGGTAGTCGACGAATAACTACTTTTGTCAATGGTTTTTCCTTCTTTTCTTGCTTTCGTTCGCTTTCTGTAAGAGCCATCAGGACAGATCAATGGATTAAAAATAATCACTTAAATATTCATTAATAAGTGGAAATCTGAATACTTCAGTAACCATTAGTAATTTATCCTTATTCTTCTATTTATCCATCAATGGCTTCAGCTGCCAGGGCTATCCAGCCAGAAGTTCCAGAAACATGTTGCTAATACAGGTGGAGAGCCCATACTGAAGTGGATCTGAGTCGGCCCCAAACCCCACCTGGGATGACCTAATAGAATGACCGCCGCTGGTTATTCAATTTGGGGAACATATTTTTGTAAAAGACGTTTGTTTACGATTATTACGTTATTCTTCTTCTTATTTTTGATCCAATGGCCTCAGCAACTAATACTATCAGGCCAGTTGGTAACGATATTGGGTTATTATAGATTAGAATTTGACATATCCTTGACAAAGACAGAAATTTTTGACATTTGCTGTGACAAAATACAGGGTGTTGATAAATAATGACTTTTGTTTATATTTCATCCTAACATTCCTAACCTCATAAAGTGATTAAGAGAAAAGTATATGGTAGGCGTTTACTTCTTATATCTAATGATTCATTTCTTAACACAATAATGACTTCCACGATCATACGTGATTTGCAACAGTATGTGTTTGAACCAAACGAAGAGAGGTTGATATCATGTTGTCAGGTTAGTAAATATCTGAAGAAAAAGAAATCTTCACTACTGTGCCTTGTCACCACGACGGTACTTCCATACAATATCAGTTTAGTTCAAGTAAAACAAACTGACAAACAGCTATTCAAGAAAAAACGCACTTGGGCTTTAGCTGAACTCAAATCCGTTGATGGGCATACAGACTCTTATGAAACATTGGAATTTGATTTATATTTGGACAAAGTTTACCGTTGGGTAGCATCCAGTTCTAAAGAAAGACATGCTTTTATTCACAACATTTGGAAGCAATCTTCACGTCACATACTGAAGGATAAACCAATGTTCAAAAACATTCCAAAAGCATGGATAACGGAAGATGCCATGACTCCTGATCACAAATACATCACCTCACCATTGCTGACTTTAGATAATGATTTTGCTGATGATTTTCAAGCAATTACTGACAAGGAACAGGAGGACCTCAAGAGGTGGGCATTTTTTAAAATATTACTTTAAAAACAAATGTTTTTTTTGTATCTTAGTAACAGTTTAATGTGTGATTTTCACTAAACAGTTTACATAACCAGAACATGTGTTTCAGTGTACAATTAACTTCTTCAGGCATGTCAATACTAAACTAAATTCTACCTAGTGCTTTATTATTCCACAGATTAATGTCATGTTGTGAATATGCCATTAGCAATGCAGAAGGTTTTATGGAAGTTCTAGCAAGGGATTTATCTCTTCTAGATGGAGAGAATGTTCAAAGTGTACTGGCATCTGAAGACCAGGTGGAAAAATTGATGGATCAGTTAGAAGAGGCTATAAATGAAGCCGATAGGCTTGAAACACAGCTGACATCTTATGATGAAATTCTCTGTCACGTCAGAGATACAATGGAAAACATGGAATTCAAAAACTCCACCATTTCTATTGCCAACAAAAACAATCAGTGGTTGATGAGAGAACTGGAAAATGTCGTGGTAATTTTTTTTCATGGTTTGTCAATGCATTTCTTCCAATACATTATATAAGCTTCAAAAAGCTGTTGAATGGAGTTTGTATATTCCTCGAATTCATTAAAGATCATAAATCATCTACAGTGTCGAAAAGCATCATGATTTTGTAGTTCATCTTTTTGTTTTTGAGAATAGTTCTATGGGCATTATCAGCACCTCGAATAAATACGGGGTGATAACTTCTTTTGTTCAAATATGAATGTTTTTGTTTTCAAAGAAACTCTCTCTTTAATTCTACAATACATCACGGTATCAAGAAAGTTCATTTCATTTTCAGACCAAACTGGATCTCCCCAGTGAATATCAGAGAACTCTAGAAGATGCTGATTTCACAAGTTCTGAAGGACTAACGATGGCGATAAAAGCTGCTAATGCTCTGAAAGTGGCAATGAACTCCAATATCGACAAAGCATTATTACAGATGTCTGCCGTCCAAGAACAAAGAAAAAAATTCGACAAACTGAAAGATAAGTTTTCACGTAGTCTTAGCCGCCAGTTAAATAACCTCTTTATTCATTATGGGAACCACAAAGGGGAATCTGACAGAAACGTTGAAGGCCTGAATTTACCACAACACAGCGGGGTTCATAAGGAGCTCTGTGCTTACATGGAGCTCATTCATTGGATAAAGGTATTGAAGTTGAATCCAGTATGAATTCTTGACAATTTTTTTATGGTTTCCTTATTTAGGTTATGGATAAAAAAATGTATGAGTCACTGAAGGAAGTCTACACAAATTCATTGGGTAAATTGTATGACAGAGATTTGAGGGGTTTATTCAATGCCGCTAGAGAAAAAATTGCAGGTATAACCGTGTACGTATCAGGATCCTTTTATGTAAAAACAGTATAATCTTTCAGTTTATACAAATGTGGCTCCACCTACTACCTTGATAGGTTTGGATAGAGACCAGTGGACTCTTGAGACATGCGCTAAGGATAGAGAGAGATATGATTCTGTGCTCGAAGAAGTTCTTACTCAATTGGAGCCTGTATTTTTACAAGAGCAACAATTTTGTTATAAATTTTTTCAAGTAAGTAAACAAATTAATACTGGAGATCCCTTACAAAATAACCCATACTTCAAGTTGTTCAGTTTGGAAATTAAAAAACTTTTTTTCAGCTGAAATCCATAACCTAACCTAAAATCAAAGAAATTTTTCAGGGATGTATTGAAAAGGATTCATATTCGATTTATATATTTCAGTATTTTTTGAATTCGAAAGCAATTTCGATCTAAAAATTGATGCGTCTTCACATTAACAATATGCAATAAAATACTGATTTCCTTCAGAGAAATGACCTTCACAAATAGTGCTTGAACAGTGCAGATGAAGTGTCAAAAATAATTTAACCTATTACATCATTAACTGACAAAAACCTGGGTTTTAGCCGTATCTTGGTTGATATTAGCTAGATTTGCCGCTTGCAGCACATCAAATGAAAGGAAAAGGAATGTAGAATTTATTGACAAAGAAAAAAGTATAAAGAGTGTTCCAATGAAATTTGATTGATGTTCAGAAAATATTCATTGAAAAATACAAAATCGATCAGCATCATCAGGAGATTAAGACTAAAAAATCTCGGATGTGAGTGAACATAATAGATACATTTTACGAGGTGTCTCAAAATATATTGGTCTAGCTTTTCAACGTGCGATCCCAACGAAGAATATATACAGGGTGTCTCAAAATACTAACGACGCGCACACGCACCAATAGCGGCGCATGTGATAACAAAGTGCGCAGGCGCTTGATAACTAAGTGCGCAGGCGCGTACGAACGAAAGACACACGCACGCGACAAATGACGTGCGCACACCATTTTTCAGCGCGTGCGCATGCCGTCCGTTGGTGCGTACATTGTTCATTCGTTGGTGAGTGCGCACGTAGTTTGTTGCGTGCGCACGACGTTTGGTCGTTGAGTGCGTCGTTCATTTGTTGTGCGCGCGTACATAGTTCGTTCTTGCGTGCGTGCACGATGAAATAAAAACGTATTACAAGAGGCTTCAAATGAACAATGAATGGAACAGTATTCAATTATTTTGCCTCGCCACTTCAATCTTTCAAAAATCTCACTAGTAGCATAAAAATGAGGGTCAAAATATTTCACGATCTTCTAAAAAGATAGCTATTGGCTCTGTAGCATGTTTTTCACTCTCAACAACCCACATTTTTGAAAAACAGACGTCTCCAAAACTTCACAAATTTTATTTCATTGTGGGGAATCTCCAGTTTGAATTTTTTGACAATTATCGTATGTCTTGTATAAGGTACGAATTTCAGCTTGATGTGATAAATCCAACTACCAAAAATACCCAGACGACTTTGGATGGAACTGAATCAATAACTGAAGTTGTATCAGTACGTAAAGCCGAGAAACAAATCGATGAAGACGTTAGAAACATGATGAGTAACTTATTTTCGTGCTTGAAAACTGAATTGGACCTATTGATCGACCATATCAAGAAACAGGACAATTTGTGAGTGATTTCAAGAAATAACTTCCAATAAAAACACTGTTTACAGATTTTTGATATGCAAAAACGTTAAAAGTCTCGTTGAGAGTATAATTCAATTGGGGTTAACTGCTGAACAAATCAAGTCTCAAAACTTACATTTCAGTTACTGCATGTACGTGTTGGTTCGCTTCAATCAGCATGTGATGTCTGCCCAGAGTTCTTTCCTTAGCAATACATTCGCTTCGCAGCTCATCGAAGTTAAACGTTCCTTGGATCAGTTCATGCAGCAACAGATTGACTCCATCAAGGAATGTAGAATAGCCAGGAAGTCTAAATGCGGAATCCTCCCTTACGTCTCCAATCTGGAGATTTTCGCAAAGAATGCCGATTGTTTGCTTAAGAGTGATCGACGTGCTGATTTGGAGAAATGGTACACGAGATTAGTAGACACCATGTTAGAATATATTGCTGTGCATTCTATAGATCACAAGACACCGTCACAGGTTATTAAAATGGGTATGTACTTGTATTAATTATGTTGAGTATCAATTTAAGTGGACTGTAGTTCCTTTGATAAGAATTTAAATGTTGTCCTTTCGCGTTATTTCGGTAAACAGAGAGCAAACATACCTTAGATTGAGGCGTCACGGGTGACCCCTTACTTGGAAGGGGTATTCTAATGTCCCCGCTGCAGATGTTATAAGGACTCCGACCTGCACGATTTATTTTTTCAGAGAACTACCACCATTTATACTCCCTGCTCTCACAACTAAAAATATCTGTCTTGGATAGCCAACGCAAAGAAGCCAAACAAAAATACAGCGATTCTTTACAAGCTTATGTGACTTTGTACTTTGGAAGACCTCTGGAGAAATTGAACGTGAGTTTTACAAAATTAATGATTCCTAATTGATTCATTTTAATTGATATTTCAGACGTTTTTTGAAGGCGTACAAGCCAGAGTTGCTAGTGGAGTAAAGGCATCAGAAGTGAGCTACCAGCTAGCGTTTAGCAAACAAGAATTGAGAAAAGTTATTAGCCAGTACCCAGGGAGCACGGTAAAGTATCTTCTCCCAAAGCTGTTTTATATTTAGCGACTGGTAACAAAACGATGTGCAGTGTGTATTCAGAAAAGTCATTTCACAATCACCCCATGCAATTTTTTCAGTTATCTTTTGTTATCAACATGAAAAATAACATAAATTTGCATAGCAACACGTCGCGGATTGGGCGACATCTATGTTTGATAGTGTGGAATACTACCAATTACCTATAAGGTCTCTCTATTATTTGAGGAGTGTTTCTTCTGTATAGGGTACTTTTTTTTAGTATTACCCAGATTAAAGTGGAGATATTTTAATACAACAATTTGCATTATTGATAATACAATACTATTTGGCATTTGTCAAACAAGAAGTTAAAAAAATTATTAGCCAGTACCCAAGGAGCATGGTAACATGGTAAAGTATCTTCTCCCAAAGCTGCTTTATATTTAGCAACCGGTAACAAAACAATGTGCATTGTATATTCATAAAAGTCATTTCACAATCACTACATGCAATTTTTTCAGTTATCTTTTGTTACCAACATAAAAAATATGATAAATTTGCATAGCAACAGGTCGCGGATTGGGCGACATCTATGTTTGATAGTGTGGAATACTACCAATTACCTATAAGGTTTCTCTATTATTTGAAGAGTGTTTCTTCTGCATAGGGTAGTTTTTTTAGTATCACCCAGATTCAAGTGGAGATATTTTAATACAACAATTTGCATTATTGATAATACAATACTATTTGGCATTTGTCAAACAAGAAGTTAAAAAAATGATTAGCCAGTACCCAAGGAGCATGGTAACTTGGTAAAGTATCTTCTCCCAAAGCTGCTTTATATTTAGCAACCGTTAACAAAACAATGTGCATTGTGTATTCATAAAAGTCATTTCACAATCACTACATGCAATTTTTTCAGTTGACTTTTGTTACCAACATAAAAATAACATAAATTTGCATAGCAACAGGTCGCGGATTGGGCGACATCTATGTTTGATAGTATGGAATACTACCAATTACCTATAAGGTCTCTCTATTATTTGAGGAGTGTTTCTTCTGTTTAGGGTACTTTTTTTAGTATTACCCAGATTCAAGTGGAGATATTTGAATACAACAATTTGAATTATTAGTAATATAATACTATTCGGCATTTGGTAAACAAGAAGTTGAAAAAATTATTAGCCAGTACCCAGGAAGCACGGTAAAAAATCTTCCCACAAAGCTTCAAAGCTTCTTTATAGATAGACATATACTTTATTGTCCAAGAAAAGATTCAAAAGATGTAAATAATAAATATACACAATTTGAACATAAATTCACATGTCATGGCAATAAAATAACATAATATATCCCAGTATAAAATATAATTTGAAGTATAGGTGTCAATATAAACAACAAAAAGACACCTATATTAAATCACAGCAAAGTTCCATTGTAATATTCATCAAGATTGTAGTACGCTTCAGTTGCAAGGGCATCTTTAATAAGATTTCTGAACTTTTTATTGTTTTTTCCTTTCTAATTTCGTAACAGTTTCAAGTATGAAAATACAAGTAACAGTGAGAATTTTTTCTATGGTCTGCATGACTCACGCACTCCCACCTTGCATAAGTATCTAACCGCTCGCTTTTGCAAAACAAACACTGAATGAAAAAGTTGTTGACTGCAAAATCCCCAGAAAGCAACACCATATCTCAGGTGGGACTCGAATCAGGGAATGATATACCATTTTTGTTGTGGATGAACCCAGTCCATTTGAAACAACTCGAAGTGCATAACATCCTGATGCCAATTTTTTATTCAAAGCTGAAATATGTTGATCAAATTTCAATTTGTTATCCATGAAGATTCCCAGGAATTTGGATTGCTTTTTATTCTCAAGAATTTGTCCATTCAAGTATAAATTGTTAATATTACAGCTGAAGGTGAGTAGGTTTGTTTTTTTAATATTAAAGCACAAGTAGTTAGCGTCACACCATTTTTTCACAACTTCTAAATCACTAGAGATAGTTTCTTTCATATTAGAAGTATTTTTTCCATGCCAAAGGATTGTGGTGTGGTAACCAGGTCATTTACATAAATAAGGAAAATAATCGGGCCCAGTACTGATCCTTGTGGAACGCCCCATAAGATATCCTTAGTGTGTGATAATTTTTCGTTTGATCTTACTAACTGTTTTCTATCACTTAAGTAAGACCTGAACCAGTCATTACACACTCCTCTAAACTTTTGCAAAAGAAGTTCACGATTTACATAGTCAAAAGCTTCGGAGAAATCGCAGAATACTGCAGCTACGACCTCACCATTGTTGAGATGCGTGTAGACATGTTCAAGAAAGGAAAATATTGCATCATTTGTGCCTTCAGAAAGCCAAATTGAAAGTTAGTTGATATATTGTACTTATAAAGAAAAGCTAATACCCTTTTTTCACAATTTTTTCTATGATTTTTGAGAGTGTTGAGAGCATGGAGATAGGTCTGAAGTTATTTGAATCTTCTGCATAACCACCTTTGAAAATAGGAATTACAAGAGCTGTTTTTAGACACGGAGGGAAATTTCCAAAAGAAAAGGATTTATTTATAGCCATCACTAGTAGATTCAAAGTGGAATTGGGCAGGTTATTTAAAATTTTTAATGAAATTTCATCAATGCCCTTTGCATTTGTGTTTTTATTTTCTTGCAAGATTTCTTTCAGCTCTAATAAATTTGTGTCTTCAAAGTGAAAGCTGTTGGGCATATTTACATTATTTAAATAATCCATAGGATTTGAAGTAGTATATTTATTAGTAGTATATTTAGCAACCAGCTAGAAAACGATAAAAACTTGCAGGCAGTGCATTGTGTATTCATAAAAAATAATTTCATAATTACTCCACGCAATTTTTTACTTATCATTTGTTACCAACATTAAAAAGAACATACATTTGCATAGCAACAGATCGCGAATTGGGCGACATCTATATTTAACAATGTGCAATACTACCAATGAATTATAAAGGTTTTTCTATTATGAGTTTTTCTCTGCAGGGAACTGTTTTTTTTTCAGTATTACACACATTTCAGTGCATAAGTTTCCTTTAAAAGCAGACTACTGAGAAACTTCAGACAAAACTTTCACTCTTCTAAGGTTTTGGCCACGAACAATTTTTTTATTATAATGATTTTTGTTTTGAAGGTCAAGAAAGGGCTTGAATCTCTCTACAAAAAAGTGGAGAAACACCTATCGGAAGAAGAAAATTTACTTCAAGTTGTTTGGAGGGCAATGCAGGAAGAATTCATCAGGCAATATAAAATGTTGGAGGACTTGATTCAACAGTGCTATCCAGGTTCTATGGTCACATTGGAATTCACTATAGAAGATATTCTGCACTTCTTTTCAGACATTGCCCGATCACACTAGGTTTTTGTTATATGTAATGTATCAAGTCAGATAGTATTATGGATTCAAAAACTTTTACTTTTCAAACTCAGTTCTGCAGAAAATGTATTCACCAAAAAATATTTAGAATGATCATTGTGATCCTGGGTATTATAAATAATATATATGTTTACAATTCTTACACTTTATAAAATAAATGTAATCTGGGCGTTACATTAAAATGTGTTTTCTGATAAGCAGTTGTTACCACCTTACAACTGTCAGCTGTCAAAATTTGTGCGAGCTAAGGATTAACGAAGTCTAACGTTTTGACGTGTGATTCAAGACAATTTGAAATATCCCACATTCAATCATGACTTTCACGAATTTCATCTTTAAAAATAGGATAGTTTTCTTAGTTCCAAAATGAATTCAATTAACAAATCCTATTAGTGATAAATTTCAGTACATTTTTAATCGTTTAAAACTGGATGTAAAAATAATAGAAATACAAATTAAAAACAAATCAATCATCTTTGAATTTTTTGAACAAACGAAATTCAGCTTCTGACTTTCAAGATCTCATGCATATGAAGGAGAAAAAACTAATATTTGCTCACAAGGCAAAAATGTAACTACATACTATTTAATGTGCTAAAACATTTAACAATTCATTTGTATGAATCAATTTTGGCTGGTTGTTCTGGAATGTCGTTGTAGAACTCCCAGAAACCAGCAACCTTTCCAAATAGAATTGATCCCACAAAAACACCAATGCCAAGGGCTAGGTGGGCATTGTATTTGCGTTGATTGGCATCATAATGTGTTTTCCAGTTACCCTGAGGCTGGGGAAGATCATTGTAGGAGCTCTGAGCTGGAGCATGATGGTCGTAACGTACATTATTTCTGGTACCTGTAACAAAAAAATTGACCTCATTGAAAATCACAGACCATAGCCAAAATTTCTTCATCATGATACAGAAGTGGGAAATTGTTGCAGAAGGAAAGAAAAAAAATTAAATACAGCATAAGGAAGCTACTGTATAATGAAAAACATTGTTGTTATGTAAACTGTCCAATCTTACAAAGTTTTGCTTGAATATATATCAATACATCAAATACAAAAATGTGTAAATCATATAGACGTTTCAGATTCAAGCTGAAAGAAAAATCTGTCCGCAATAACTACTTCCAACTGAAACAACTTCTCCAAATATACATCAGGTGTAATTCAGTGCAAAAATTTGTCTTCATCTTCCTCTGTTTGAAAAACTCTGCAAAAATGTGCTAGTGTTCTCACCCGAAACCTCTAGAAGTCTATCTTATAAGTGAAATTGTACATCGATACTCTGTCATACTTATAATAGATTGTATGACGTTCTGGTTTCAATTCATTATGAATGCTAGAAGTACAAAACTGGTTGAGAAAAAAGTAATTTCAGTATAATTCGATGTTCATATTTGAAATAAGTTGTTATGGAAGTTTTTATTTGTCCCATTTCTATCTGATGGAAACTTCTCTGCATGATCTACACATCTTTTCAATGTATTTTATTTTTATATGAAATTTTTCCACTTTCAATATAATGACGAACTAGAAAGCCCAGAAAGCTTTTCCCAGAAACTAAATTATTTCGAAAACACTTTCAATTAGAATGTCAGAATTCCTACAATGAAAGTTGCCTGAGAAATACTCTTCATTAGAGAGCCCATTGAGATTGTCCAAGCAATTAAGGTATAATTAATTTCAAGTTACTTACTTTGTCTAGCAAGTCGACTCACTAATAACCTCGGAGCCTGCATTTTTTCGAATAATTTGTATTAATATAACTGAAGGAATGAATATTAGCCCAGTTATGCAACAAAATGAAATAGTGGACCTGTCTAATATCAAATTGCCAAAAAAAGCTGTCAGAATGTATCCTTGAACTGGCTGCGTCCATGACAAAAAAGCGAAATGCGCTACGCTGAATGTAGCGTAAAAGCGCTTTTTGAATCGATCAGATGATATAGGTCATTGAAAAATGAATGAATTATATACTCAACACATTCCAGAAAGTGATATTTTTTCTGATGACTATGATTCCATTATATTCTCTTCTAACATTATGCTAGTTTTCAAATCTTATAACGAATGGATTTATGCAGAAATGTTCACGACTGTCACTTTAAGGGTTCTATGCACCTACCAATCATTTAGTCCAAGCACAAAACTCAAAATTATATATCAGGATTAGACCGCGCTTGTGCTTTTATTGATGACATTGTGTTGGACAAATCATGGGTATAACAATCTAATCCATACTTGAGCAATAATAACTAATCAAACTTATATGTCAATATTTAGTTGTTTGAGTGGAAGTGAGAAGTAGTCAGATTGTATGTCGAGAGAAATCACGACTTCAGTTGTTAACTAAGCTATATTTCGAATGGGAAGAACACGCATATAATTGAGTTTTAAAATATTTCGATTTTAATATCGACATTACCACTAATGGAGCTGTGAAAATTGTTCGGAATTATAAATAAGACCTCAGTTTCTCCATAATACAACAAGCGAAAATAACAAATTTTTAAACCCGCCAAAGAACGTACCGCTAGCTGTGTCTGACAAGATGCTCGTAGCTTCTCTTAGTTCGAATTTTTCACAGAGAGGGCGCTTCAGTTGTTGCAATTCAAGTAACCTGTGTTTTTTTACCATTGTAATTATTATTATTGTCACAGATTAATATTGTTAGAAATTTGAAATACCTATTATTCCATGATCACTGCAGTCGATTGTATCATCATCGATGATAATTTATGAATGTAGTTGCCCGTTTCTAAATGTTTATAGCCATGAGTGACGCTAGCGTATGAGAAAGTTATTCGAATTCAAGGTCAAATCCAGTTCAGATAGTATGCTATTTTCAAATTTGAATATTTCAATGGAAAAACAGCTTGGAAAAATGTTTCTCATTGTTTCAATTATTAGAAATTTATGAAAAAATACAAGCGTGTTCCTCATAGTGTATACTACAGTATACTCATGTTGAAATGATTAATTTTGTGATATCACCTATAAAATATTTTTGTTATACTTCGAATCATGGTAACCTTTTTATCTTCAATGTCACATCATGATGCATTATTTCATTGAGAAATGTGTCAATTTGCAGAGAAGAGAAAAGATGACTAGAATAATTTTTGTTTCTCATTCTAAGCGTCTGTGAATGGATAGTTTACAGTGAGTTCTGTGAAGCCAAGTTTCTAGTCTCCGGACCTAGTCTTTTAGCAAACCTTATATTTTAAATGTAAGTTATTGATAATTAGTGTGGTCTGTAAGAGTTCTCCGCTACAGTTTCCATTTTTTTTATTGTGTAAGGCGAAAACTCTGATTTCATCCACAAAAAATATATTTTCAAAAATTCACTCATCTGAAAATACCCCGTGTGGGAAAATTAGTTTCTATATAAAACCACTTTTCTATGTGAATAATTTATTTAAAACCTCTCATCACAATTTTACTCCCTCATACAATCGAGGGGAAACTGGAGTTCCTAAACCAGTTACTAACTCAACATTGGGTTCTTCTCCTTCCTGAGCTATTTTGTATGATTTAATTCTACTGATTCTGTTATACAAAACCTCTAATTTGACCTGCTCTGCCAATGTTTTGTCTTCAGGGGATTTAGCCTCTCGTATCAAAAGCTCTTTCATTAGCGGAGGGAAGTCAATATACTTTGGAAAAATTTTCACAGGTTTTTCAGCAGTTTTTTTGCAATATTCCACCTCAGCATCTTTAGGAATGAGTTTATAATCTGTTTTGTAGCTGACTGATTCAAGACATACAGTTTTTGGTTCAGTTACTCCTCTGAACGTTTTTTCGACCCATACTCTTACTTTACGAATATCCTGTTGAATTGAAATGGATGACAACATATAATTCGGATTCTATTTACTTACATCATGCGAGGGTTTTTCCGGATTGGGCAAGGTTTCCACCTTCAGAATTTTTATATATGATGGTTCTGGGTATCTTTCAAACATATTCCTCGCTATTATTCGACCGACTCCAAAGTTCTTGAGATTTCCTAATATTTCCCATAGTGTCTTTCCTTTAAAATCAGTTGTTCTACCGATATATTTATATGGCATTTTTCGAATTTGGATTTTATTATATACACAGTAACTTATTTGCTATTTATCATTTAAAAACTTTGGTTATGTTCTGTTTCTGTGTCACAGAACACAGAATATCTTGATGCGGTCAAGTCATGCGGATTTTTATGAAAGTCATAGAGGGGCCACAAAATCGACAATATTATTTTACCACAAATTCACAATTTTTACTGTGAATTCACAGTTAACAGCGAATTTACAGTTGTAAGTGTGAATTCAAAAGTATCACTGTAAATTATGATCAGCGTCGGTAGACAGCAAACTCCGCGCATGACCATGTTGCACTATGCAGAATAGATGTCAGCACTTTTTACGTCTATTGCAAATTTATTAGTATTCGAGGGGACGTTTATTGCAAGGCAAAAGGAAGAGTTGTCAAAGTGACACTGTATTGATATTTCCACGAAATATTACAATTGTTAATTTTACGAAAATGCTCTTAAAGATTCCGAACTGGAAGTATTGTTGATGGAAATAATTCTTTATTTGATGGTCGGATGGAAGAGCAATATCTGCCGTGATTTATCATGTGCAGACATTGAATCTAACCCAACATATGGCGGAGGTTAGATTAGTATCTCTTGCACTGAGTAACCTTTCAGAGGACGAGGATTTGAGGACCCTAACCCACCACAAAAGGTGCGTGGGATGGCGGAAGAATTGGACGTCAGCTCCCATGCGGTTTTTGATGGTTTGAAACATATGGGAATAGTCAAAAGTTCCAAAGACACCAGGTACTTTCCAAAGGCAAGTAATCACCAAAAAAATCCATGGTTACTGTATGGTGGTCTGCGGCTGGTGCGATCCACTATAACTTTCCACAACTGGGCCAAACCATCACAGCAGCAGGAAATCGACAATAGTTTTAATACCGACCAAATAAAATCAATCAATCAATCAATCATAAACTCTTTCTGCAGTTGATTCAGTAGGATGTCTACTGCAAAAGGTAAGGTGTTTTTCACCCTAACTTTGGGAATATATTTCAAAGTAGAGCAGATATTTGATTTTGATTTTTGATTGAGAGACCCCGTTAATACATTTCACTGTACATTTCTCCAGTCGCTAAGATAATCCATTTTATGTACATGTTGTAACATAAGTACGTTAAAATATTCAAGTGACGTAATCCTGAGACAATTTAAAAAAAAAACAGGCGAGTCCGATTCCGCCTTACGACAACGTCCGTCCGCACGTTTGACAAATCACTGGCCAAAAATTAAAAGGCGTCGAAGTTCTGCCTCACTCACCAAACTCCCTAGACCACTCGCCAACTATCATATTCTCAAGCACTTCGATAACTGTCTTACCTGTAGAACCTTCGCCAATCAGGGCAAAAATGCTGTGTTACGTTGGCAAAACTGCCAACTGACATAATATAGTTCGAAGTACTTATAAAAACTGAAAAAACTTCTTTAAAAACCTAATGATATTACGGTCTGCGCTTTTTTTCACACAGGTGTTTGTGTGGCGGAGTATTGTCTTTTTCATTTGCTGTATGGACGCAGGTGTACCTGAGAATTCCATTATAGCACTGTTACTGTTCTAATTAACGAAAACAATTTTTTCTAATCCTGCCCGATAAAAAATTGTAGTTCTCTCTCTCTATATATATTTTGGATGGTCGTTGCTTTCTATCTTCAGGCACATATGACCAAAGCTTCTCGTGTTACGTAAATGCCTGTTACATAACAAAAGCTTCATTGGGGGGACAAAGACTGTCTTGAAGCTTGCAAGCCTGTGTCCGGTGTGCTACTGAGGTTTTAGGTCTACTGTGCTTGGATATAAAACTATTGTTTTCTTCATAAACTATTATTTGTTGCGATCCTTCTCCCACGTGGACATCCGGTCCATTCCGGCCTGCAACCGGCGTGAATGGGAGTACTATTTATTTTGAAACACTAAAACAATTTTTATTACCACTATTTTTGATTTTTAATTGATGCTGGATCGTTATAAAACGGCGAACATTCATGAACTGAGTTCCATCTCCAAAAATGGCGTCCGCGTACCTTCTTTGTGGACGGTCGCTATTTGGCACGTCCGCTTCCCACCATGTCAGAAACGAAACTCCAAAATTGAAGTTGACAGTCTCACACTGACTTGACCGTCCAAAACTTTTATATCAGTAGCCTTACTTTTGTTCAATTTGCTTATTTGATCAATCGAAATATCAGTTAATCATTCCACATCATCAGAAAAACAGTGGGATTGTAACGATGTATGTCTCTTCTTGATTTCCCTAGGTATATCGACATGTTTATATGTTGATTTTAATTGGATTCTTCAATCAACAGTTGCACTGTTTCCCAGGAATCATGGGAACCGTGTCAAAATTCTAGCGCGAAGCTTTGTTTTTAATCATTTTCTGTTCATATCGCCCCGATAATGAGACTTTCATAATTTGATTCAGCCTTTGGGGAAATCAAAATATTCGCCAAGTATTGAAAATTATTTTTCATAAAGAAGTGTCGATGAACACACGAACTCTGATGGGAAAAGTAATTTTCTCTTGTATACCATATTATATTTTTTCAATAGACGTGTTCAAGTAGTCCAAGGAAAACTAAATAACGTTCTTTGAGAGCTATGCTGGTGCGAAATTTTTCCCACAGTGTTGATTGTAATAGCTTTTTCTTCGATTTATTGGAACCAGTGTGAAAGTAAGTGTTCAATGTGCGTGTCGCTGAAACTCACAAACGAGTCCCGGTACGAATAATGGTGTGGTAGTCCTTTATACAGGGCTATTCAAATTTGTTTCTGTACATGGGGATCTCGTAAACGATAAGAGATAGAGTGTCGATTAAATTGTGGCAAAGTTGCGTATTTCAGAGACCTATTCAATGATGTAAAAAAATCGAATATAGCTCTCTTGGTTCTGGAGATATACAGGAAAAACCAAAAAATCCCAAATTATTTTTTTTGCCTATATCTTCTTTATTCGCAGACATATTGGAAATCTGTCCACATTTTGCTATTGGCACTTGATGTGGGCTCTCAGAATATATCAATGAATCTTTTATACAGGATGTCATCTGACTTGGGCCACCCCCATATTTGAATTTTTAAATACGGATTTGTATTTTTTGTGGTAGTTTTTGGATCGTAGACGTTCACTTTATACTGAAAAATTAAATTAAATTTTATATTTCGGGATTTTTCGGTAATATTCGATTATAATTTTGTGAATTATTCCCTTTTGAATTACGGCCCTGGAAATTGGTTGACTGAGTTGAATAAAAACATAATAGCAACTTACACGTCTCCCTATGTATCGTAGAGTTTTTCGATAGTTTTTTTTTCATTTTAGGTACCTATTCATATTTTTTCCATTGCTCTAAGCGTTTTCTACAATGAACTTCGAATAAGAAAACCTTTTATGATTATTTGAAACATATCTACATCAAAAATATATTATATGTGTTCCAATAAGCAGAAAAAGAAATTTATATAGGTACCCAAAAAAATTATTGGCGCAATAAATGTTCGAATTGGAGTCCTTCCAATTTGATAATTTTTAAACTCGGTTTTTTATATTATTTATTGCCCTCGATACACTTATTTGCTGTATTGTTGCGAAATCATTCAAAATCCTCAATCTTGAGTCTTCCACATTTTCTATCTCTATGCTAGCGTAAATCCTATTTTTCAATGTCCCCCGTAGAAAATAGTCCAAAATAGTAAGATCTGGTGATCTTGCAGACCATCTTATTGTCCCATTATTTGTTTCAAAATGGAAGGACTCCCATTCGAACATTTATTGCACAATTAGTTTTTTTGTGTATATAAATTAATTACTTCATTTCAACTTTCATTATAATTATAGTGTTCGTTTCGGATGTTAGTATTGCTACCATTGTTTTTTCTGCTCATCAAAACACATATAATATATTTTTATTGTAGATATGTTTTAGATAATCATAAAAGGTTTTCTTATTGGAAATTCATTGTAGAAAACGCTCAGAGCAATGGAAAAAATATCAATAGGTACCTAAAAATGAAAAAAAAAACTCTCGGAAAACTCTACGGTACATAGGGAGACGTGAAAGTTGCTATTGTGTTTTCATTCAACTCAGTCAACCAATTTCCAAGGCCGTAATTTAAAAGGGAATAATTCACACAATTATAATCGAATATTACCGAAAAATCCTGATATATAACATTGAATTTAATTTCTCAGTATGAAGTCAACGTCTTCGATCCAAAAATTACAACAAAAAATACAGGTCCGTGAAATTCAAAGATGGGGGTGGGCCAAGTCAGATGATACCTTGTATAAAAGATTCATGGATATATTCTGAGAGCCCATATCAAGTGCCAATAGCAAAATGTGGACAGATTTTCAATATGTCTGCGAATAAAGAAGATATAGGAAAAAAATAATTTACGATTTTTTGGTTTTTCCTGTATATCTCCAGAATCATAACGGCTATATTCGATTTCTTTACATCATTGAATAGGTCTCTAAAATACGCAACTTTGCCATACTTTAACCGACACTCTATCTCTTATCCTTTACGAGATCCCCATGTACAGAAACGAATTTGAATAGCCCTGTATATATCATTCCTGAAGAAGGTTTTGGGCGTGCTTATGAAGATATGTGGTCTGGAATTTTCGACCTTTGAAACAGTTCAGATCATTCGAGAACACTCCACAAGGTTCCAGAATGTTCGGAAATAGCCTGGACGTTCGGGAATATTTCATACCAATGGGGAACATTCGACTCTTGAATATTACGGACTGTTCTGGAACTTCGTGAACAATTCGAAGTCTTTTCTGTACTTTTATAAATTAAAGTTTGTATTTTCATTCCAACTACCACCCTGTGTGGTATGAGTGCTTGCTGGCCAAATTTCGAGGCTATGGCTTATCGAATAATTTTTGTGAATGGCTCTCCAGCTTCCTGAAAGAACGTTTCGTGCAGGTGCTCATCGATGGATATCTCTCGAATACCTTTACCATCAACGCTGGTGTTCCCCAGGGATCCATATTGTCTCCAACTCCCTTTTTATTGAAAAAAACAAGAATCCAATATATAGCTCTGTTATAGAAAATACAATTGACCATGTAACAATTATTTTCCTGAATGTGTAGCCATTGGGTCATACAGGAAAGAGCATACCAAGACGATTCCAAATAGGTCTGTCAATGAAAAACCTTTCCTGACCTATGTAAAGAATTCTACGGATTGGAAGAGTTCTGGGAAAACACTACGTGAAATCTATATCCAGGCCAAATATTACCATCTGAGAGAGTCTGAGGTCAGTAGACCTTTTGCAATATCGGGGATTTGCCGAATTTTTTCTAGCTCGAGCTCCACAAGAGAAATTGTAGCATATGGCGCATACCGACAAATCAACAGTGGCGAAACATACACTTAATAATAGTGATCTGAAGCAGTCTTATCATATAATTCATTGTTTTGCCTAACAAATGAAATACATTTAAAAATGAAGATGGAAGGGGCTGTCAATATTTTTTTGTCTATAAAGACTGGCCGGCAGCTATCCCGGAAATCCATATTGAAGATTAGCCTTATGAGAAGGAATTCACTTTATCACGTTTTAAGAGTGCTCGACAGAACTCAGAACTACTACCCAAGACTACATAAGAAGGTTAAAGAAACACCAACACGATTTCAACTGAAAGGGAGAGGAAATTAACATTCATGAAATCTGGCTACTTGCACTCAATTGCTCACGTATTAGGTCATTCTATTCACGATACATACTAACCTGTCATAATGGATCTGAATATTGGAAATATTGGAAATGTATAGCTAAAAACAAATATAATGGTAATAATTTATTTTCAAATATAAGACATGTATAATTATTCTCTCAGGAGAAATCACAATTGAAAAATTACCAGCTAGGTTATATTAAATACCTCAGGTACGTGAAACATTTTTTATAAGATGACATATGACATTCGGCTGAAAAATTTCACACCAACATTGATTTGAAAATATGAAATTATTGGTCGATTAGAAAGGATTTATTTCCGAAACAAATCAACCAATGTGTAGTAAAAAAATGAATTCAATATTTTTTATAATTCAGAAGTCTGAGCAGCAATTCAACTACATATTTTCCGTTCATCTTTATTAAAAATTATAACTGAGGTTATAATTGTTCATTGGCATTGTTCATTTGATAAAAAAATTATTGAAGACGAAGGAGTTTTCACTTTATGTATATAAGTTTTTGGGAAAGTAAAAAAACACGAACACCACCAAGTACCTATGTCTTTTTATTGAAATTTGGTTGTTTTTTTTTTGTAATCTTTTTACTATAAAAAGATATATCAAGAGAACATTCGTTTCTGTATGAATCAAATGAACAAAAAATGCACAGAAAGTTAAAATAATCTGAATGAGTTTAAAAAATATTAGAGGGCTTGTTCCGGTTATTCGTTTCTCAAAAATCTATTCTGAAGCCCTTCGAAAATACACTCAAGCAGTGGAAAGAAATTGAGGTCTTTGGTTTTCATGCCAATTTTCAAATTGTAGTGGTGAAGTCCCGGTGGTTGAAATTTTTTTTTAGAAATTTCTTCCTCTGAAAGGACCCTTTTTCATAATTCAAATATTTGTAACACTTTTCGAGATATTCGTAAAAACCGAAGTTTATTTTTGAAATGTTTACTCATCTGTTCCTGACTCTTGATTTTTTTTTTAAAATCGAAAAATCGTTGATGAGGAACTTGCTAACACTCAGAACTGTGAATCTTGTCGCCTAGCGACAGTAACAGCAACTGTCTATTGTGAATTAATAGTAAAAACAATAGTTGCAGTAATTTTCAGGTGTGAAACTTTCCGTAAAACAAGTACCTAGGTTGAAACATACAATAAACTATTTGGCACAAATATAAACAATATATCAAATTGCTAACCATTACGTTTTGTGCTAAGAAAGCTTTCAAATACCGCAAATGTGTTAAGATACATCAGTCAATAAGAGTTCTAACAAAATACGCTTGGTTTGAATTGAATGTGACTGACAATGTATCTATTTTGTAGAATGTTAAGATTCCCCCTTCACTTATAAAAATGATGTGAAAAATTTATTTTAAAATGATGGTGGTGTTATAAAGGCCACCTTGTATATTTTTGAGTTCTTTCATCGAAAGAATCCCAGTGGAACGGAAATATATAACTATATTGAACAGAAAATCCAAGTCGTAATTGGTGAAAAAATAGCTGGCTCAGTTTAGCCACATTACATGTTAAAGAGTAAACGTTCTTTTGGAAATCGTTCTGGTTGCTGTGGTGAAAAAGAAATGTATGCTGATTTGAGAAGGAAAGTTATCACTGGATGATGAAAAACGACATGATGAAGTTTTAAACACGCCGTTCCATTGAAAAATCTTAATTTGTGTGAATCAAAATCTTCTTGACTCTCTACTTTTCCAGTTAGATGAAAGTCAGATTCAACTGGCCTGAACGAATTGTTTTTTTTAGATAATTTTAATATATTTATCATGGATCTTTCTTATCTATCCTTATTCATCGCTCAAGTTTAAATAGTATCTGAATGGAAAACCAAAAGGATTATTTAGTTATATTTGATCTCAGTTTAATGATTGCAAATTTTCTTTTTTGAGTCTTGACATTCTTTGACGGAGAAAATTCTTGATAATACAAGAGTCAGACACATTCAAACAAACAAATGAGGTTGTTATTGTCATATCAACTCTTTCAAAATGTGTACATGTGTACATTATGAACATCCACTGTTTGGAAATTGTAATACTTTGCCTTTTTTAGATCATGTATCAGCAATATCAACAGTATTTTAATTTTACACTACGATCACTAATGATTTTTGAAATTCTTCAATAGCTTTTTTACACATTGTGGTATTGTGTGTATAAAGAATTTATTCCAGAGTTTTTGACGTATCACTTCGACAGCCTTTTATTACATGTGATAGGCCACGTTTACACGGCATCTAAAAGGAGGATTTCTAACAACCGAGGTTATTAAAATCAACGTTAATGCCTGTGCAAACACCATTTTATTCGAACGCTATTAAAGCGGATTGGTGTTATAAAACTTACACCTACTTTGATTGATGTAATAATTTGTTGCCATGAAGATTCCCTAACGCATCAGAAATGCATTTTCTTTCAGACGGGATAAAACATAGTTATCTGCCTAACTTGATGAAGAGAACACGCTTTACAACAACAAAATATTCAGGAGTAACAATCGATATGATCATTTTTGGTTCAATTTTAGAAAAAGTAAAAATTAATCACTGTGACAACTACATTTTCATTTCTCCTCATCATCATTAACACCAACTCCGGAATAATATGGTCCCAGAAAGAAAATATTTCTGTTTGGTGTTGGGACTAAACTACACCAAAGGTTCCAAACAAGCATTAGAAGTTAGTTCTACAGATATTTTACCGATTGAAGTTATGAAAAAGTTCCATAGTGAATTTTTCATTATGAAGATCGAATAGATATCATAATAAACGTTTCAACTGACGTTTCAATGACCATTCATTTTATAATATTGATATGTTTTTTATCTATAGCAAAGTGATATTTTCTTTCTCAAAATTTTCAATCCTGTAATCTGTTGAAATTCAGTTGAAATCCAAAGCTTCGAAGCTTTTTGAAAAATTTAAATTTGAACTAGCTGCTGCTGATTGACACAACATGTGAACTATTAGAATTTTTGCGTCAGTAATATGCTTCAACAACTGTGGAGTTTATACAAATAACCCTGATAACGCTTATTTTCATTCGACAATATCCATTATCTACTCGAGTATGTTAGAAACGATATATTGTGTATTTTTGTACTACGAAACTGATAAGAAACATTCAATTTATTTCGTTATTTTACCAAATTTTCTGGAATTTCATGAAATTGATACAATCTCACGTTATCCTCAGGCAAGTAGGTATATATACGACGTCCACATTTTGAATATAACATCGATTGAAAGTTCTGCTTCTTATATAAGCTGCTCTCGTCCAGAAATGGTCCAGGAAAGGGTCCTGAAACCAAGTGATATGAAGAATTATAATCAGTTCACGATTTTAATATTACTGGAGCCTTTTTCCAACACCAAACCGTTATTTTAGGACCTCGACACGTGTTTCGATCACCAAGTGTTCATCTTCAAATGTACCTGTAAGGTGTTGGGAAAAAACTCCAGTAATATTCATAACTACACCAAAGGATCCAAACAATGCATCACAAATTCACGATTTAATGAAAATTATAAATGTTCCAATCAAAATTTGCTCGGTACAAGGTTGGTTGGTAAGTTAACCGTACAAAAGGTTCAACCTCTGACTATAAATATAATTCGAAGCAAAAATTGTTCAACGAAGAGAAAAAACTGGAAATTTGATGAATGAGCTCAAACAAGAAATGAAATCTATAATGGCTACGGAGATATCGCCATTTATTTTATACATAAGCTCAATGAGTAGGACAGAGAAACTTCTTCTCTGTCTCCTCTTGATCTTGACCTTACTCAATATTTATGAAGATTTATACGCTGACATTGCAACTTTGATCCGGTCACTGTACTGAGGTAAAATGATTTGGAGATTGTTTTATATTTCTATATCCTGTGATCGTATCAATTTCGATGTCTATGAACTTGGAATATTGAAAGATGGAATTCTGAATACTGACTGTTTTTGTTTAGGAATATTGAAGTTCAGGTTGGAACATCTTTCAGTTCATGTATTCGCTTAGATGAATTTGAATTATTTCATGATTATTTTCCATATTTGACAGTATCTATCACGGTGATATTGAGTTCTATTATATTTATATATCATTCATTTGCCATTGCTGAGTAACACATAAACTGCGGCTCGTAAGTAATAATTTTCCAATGCAATGCTTGCATATATATTCTATTCAGGACAAAATCTTGAAAAATGGCACTTACTGAAAGTTACACTCTTCAATGGAAAAAGCATTACACTTTAGTGCTTTTTAGTGCTCTGATCGCACTTTCTTTTCTTACTTCATCCATGTATTGAATTCTGTTGGCTATACATCCCATCGAGAGCGACAATTTCATCGAAATGAATAATAAAACAGCGCTCCGCGATACTTGAAAAAACCATTAGCGTGACTGACAGACAGTAAATAAGACAAAGCTTCACCGAAAAGTCTCAGCTTTCATAAATATCAAACTGTGTATGGAAAGCTGTTACCTAGTAATAAAAGGAGCGAGTGCCTTGCTCTTGCCCTGGAAATATTGTGTGGAAGCTTTTATGTTGAGTAGAACAAGACACATATTCAGATTTATAGTCTGCAGGTTATAGGCGGAATTTTGATGAAAAAATTTAATACTTCTCTCGAAGTATCGCAACACAAAGCGGTGATGTAAGGGTATGGATGTTTCAAAATACTCAGAAGTACTTAGTGCTCGAACAACAAAAGCAGTTGTGCCGTAATACCTCGATTTTGAAATAATTTTTTTATGTGGGACATAAAGTTACTTTTTGAAAATGTTTATTAGTAGTAAATTCTTGAGAAGTTTCAGTTGAGATATTTCTCATTTTCCCAACCTTCAGGCGAATAGAATTTGCAATCAGTAGCAGATGGGACAATACTACATGGAATGAAAAGGTTCAGGCCTAACACATATATGGCGATAGTTTTATTGCATTCATCTCTTTTTCAGTTAGTCCTAACCTTCAAAAGAATGCTGTTGAAATTTCATGATATTCTTCTTGTGAATTTGTGAGTTATTATGCTAAGAGTTACACTACTTTACTACTTTTGTTATTTTCAAAACAGTGGATCAAAAATAATTTCGTGTTTTGGTTATACACTGCTTCTTGATGGGAAAAAAACCGTTCAAGAGGAGCAATGACTTGAAAAGTGTTATAAGGACTCAGCTCTATCAGAAACAGCAATCGAACGTTGGTTTGCTGACTTCAACCGTGGTCGTAGAGACACCGATGATGCAGAACGCAGTGGACGTCCAAATGAGACAGTAACACCAGAAAACATAAAAAAATCCACAAAATCGCTAGCTCACGCAGCTAAAAATGAAGCTGCGTGAGCTAGCTGACATTATGGAGAAATCAAAATGACAACTCAAAGAGTTGTTGTGGATGAAGTTGTTTCAGATGCTCTACCGGTATTAAAGGGAGTCCCACAATAATCTATCCCTGGGCCCTTGCTTTTTAGCTTGTATATTTGTGATTCTTATCTGTTCGTAAAAAAATACAATGTAGATCACTATGCAGAAGACACGCAGTTATTTTCTTTCTTCCGCCTGGCGAGTCTACATCTGCTCAGTCGTATATTAATAACGATCTCCAAACCATCTTTGACATTTCTACAGCCCATAAGCTCAAGCTCAATTCTGACAAATCCGCAATGATGATGTTCGGAGCTAAGAAGAACAGAGAGCTCACCAACAGTACTTTTCATCGAAACGAAATACTTCCCTCCGTGGCCGAGATAAAGAATTTAGGATTGTGGTTTGATCGGGAACTTCGCTTTACTAAACATGTCAGCTACCTGAACCAATCTTCTTATAACGTTCTCAGACAACTTTTTCCTAATCGTGCTTTGCTCAACACAAATTTAAAACTGAGACTATGCGAGTTTCTGATTATATAAAAAATTTCCTATTGCGACAGTATTTACGGACCTGCTTTAAAACAATCGGATGCTCTCCGACTACAGCGTATTCAGAATAGCTGTCTAACTGTTCCATTCATTTTTGTCTATTCCATTTGTATTCTAATGGTGAATAAAGACGTATTTTTTTTTCCTCCGAAGCCCCGATACATTCGGGACGTATTATTATTATTATTATATTGTATGACCATTTGACTATGAGAGAGCTCTGTTCAAGGTGCGTGCCACCCGAGCTCACTGTTGATCAAAAACAAGAACGTCTTGATGATTCTGAGCAGTATTGCCACGTTTGAATATAACAAACCAAGATTTTTGCTTCAATATGTAACAGAGGATGAAACATGGATCCATTATTTTCATCCGGAATCAAACCAATCATCATCTGGGTGGAGAGCAACTGGTGAACCTCGATGACGATGCGTTGGCTGAGTTGATATTGTTGTAGATCGTGCTCAAAAGGAAGTAACGCCGGCCGCCACTGGTAACCATAAACCAAATGTGACGTAGCTAAGAGCGCGGGAATGTACGATGATTTTCCGCAACTCGAGAAGCAGCGAGAATAATGCTTCCGATTTCGACGGAACTTCGGTGAAATTTCTGCGATGTTCGATTATGATATTCAAACGCTAGCGGCGGGAATATCGACACAGTCGAATGAACTTTTCAGTGCTGTACGCTAAGTGATCTAGTTAGGCGATAGACATTCAAATTGAAGTTTTAGTTGAAGTGTTTGTTGTATTTAAAGTGAAATGAAGTTACGTTTGATTATTCAGTGTATTCAATTATTGATCAACACACGGGGAAAAACGTTAGAATATTATGTTATTATAAGGGGTGGAACTTTCAAAACGTCTATAAGTATGTGAGCTGATAAAAAAGGTGAATATTCGAATTTCGCCGGCTACGTACATTCAATTAGCGATTTTTTCATTTTTTTATTGTGGTACACTCTTCTCGAACATATATTCACAGTTTCATCTGTTTAGCATCTTCAGTTTGTTGGTGAAATGCACCGTTATCATATCTAAGCCACCGTATTTACCAGATTTTACCCCCTGCGATTTTTTCTGTACCCAAGATTGAAGAGACCCATGAAAGGACGATTGAGGAGATGAAATCCAAATTGCTGAGAGAGCTTAAGGACATATAGTATTGTATTATATCTGATGCGGACTACTTTGAAGGGGACAGAATAGAAATTGATGGAAAAATGGATATTTTTTGACAAAAATGAAAATTCACCTAACTTTTTGAACAGACCCCGTACGTTGTCATAAAAACTTGACGTGTATGTGAAATTTCAACAATTGATGTGCAAGATTTGACTCGAACTAACCTACAAACATTGCAAGTTAATGAAAGCCCGTTAAATTTATCGCCATTATAATTACATTTTTGAAGAAAAAGCTGATATTTGAGAAAAAGACAAAACACAAGGATTCCTCAACTGAAAAGTGACTCGTATAATAATGAATTTACGCTGCTATGCTGGTATCTTCAATAATTAATTTCTATAGAGCTTCCTCCGAAGTTCCAACTCAACCAGCGATTCACGATTCTTTGAACTTTGATATAACGACTGAATGCGCTCCTTCTGAAAACAGGGTATTACGAAGTAATTGGAACTTTATAATAAGACGTTATTATACAATATCTCCTTTCATATTGTTGAACACTAATTGCCGAAGATTGAGAAAAATAAGTTGTGTAATCAATTGTTACGTCAGAAAACACTTTATTATGTGATTTTCACTAACTATACAGGATGAAACATAATTACGTTGAAATATTCAGTGACGTATTCCTGAGAAAATTTTGAGAAAAAAAGTATATAAACTTGTGTCCGGCAATGCTTCGTTTCGGAGATACAGGGTGTTGAATTTTTTTTCTGTTTTTTAAATATAACTCTTGCAAAAATGAGTTATTTGCACTAAATTTGGTACCCGGGATTTTTTTGAAGTGGGAAATCATAATTTGGTATTAATTTTCATGTAACATCTAACTTTTTTGGTAGTAAACTTTTGGTACTTTTCATGGAAAAACGGAATTTCTTCACCTTTTTCAAGTAAAAAAGGTACACTTCCTCAACAACGCTGGAGGTGATCGTTTTCGAGATATTTACAATTTTCTATATCGATGCATATTACTTAGCTCCTAGGGCGATAAGTGAAGTTGCTGAGAACTTTACAAAAACTAAATATGTGGTGGAACGCGCCAAAATAACTTTTTCCTATAAACTGTTTATCGAAAAATCATTCGTTTTCGAAATACAAATCACTAAAATTGCAACAAACAAACCCGTCGCGACGCGTAATGGCTTACTGTGGTGCGTCGAATTATTGTTCTCGTGATGACTTTCAAACGATTTGTCCAAATTACTTAGTGTGAAAGACAAAGTTTACCTATATTAAATACCTAAAACGACAATTGTATCAATTTTTATAAAAATTCTACAGATATTCTGAAATGTGCATTGTAAAAAAATTATCCAATTCAATTGTATTTATGACTCAGTATTTTGCATATAGTGGCTACTACATAAGAGGTAGATATATGCTATCACCGACTTTTATTTAGAACTGATTGAGATAAACAATCTCACGGTACTTTATCTTTATGTAACTTCAACGGTACATGCAGCGCACGCCAAAATAGCTCTCAGGGAGCAAGAATATTTTTGACTCAATACTCATCATTATATTATGATCAAAATTACACAAAACCTTTGCAAATTATATCCTATATGTTATTCGGATGTATAAGCTGTATTTATGTAAAATTTCATTTAGATCCGTTCAGTCGTTTAGGCGTGAAAGAGCCAGAAACATACATACATCCATACATACAAACATCCTCACAAACGTTTACATTTATAATATTAGTATAGATAGTATATAGTATAGAGTATCAGCAATGCACCCGTGCGAAACTAGGGCGGCACGTTAGTATTCTATATTAATTAGGTGTTATTACAGTATTGGTTAATATTCAACTACCGGATATATAAGGTAAAATACTATTTCAGTATCAATTCTCTATTTTGAGTAAAACCATATTTTTTTTCGTTCTTGTACCTGCATTAGTTTAGTACGCTGTAATGAAAGATTATTTTGAAAAACACATTTATTACCAATTCGCAGGCTCACTCAGCATTATTCCATTATCAGCCTTTGATGAAATTTTATTGGAAATGTTCAATTGTGTAAGCTTTGAATTTTGATGAATTGACAACCATTCCAGTGGTAGTTAATTAATTGTGAATTTACGAATCGCTGCACGAACGTCCCTGGATTTCACCGTAATATAGGAAACAACTTTTCAGAACGCCGTGACTGATTGAAATCAACAGGCTCAGCGATTTCGAATTTCAATTCTCCGGTGAATAGTGAACGAAGTATTGAAAGTTTGGTGCTCAGTCGATCGGAAATACGTACCGTTGTTAATCAGGTTTTTTATCGACCGATGAAAGAGAACAAATTTCGCAGGATTCAATGAGATACATGATGATTTGAAACAGCATTATGATTCTGATATTATGAGAAATTCTCTCAAATATACATATATAGGGTCTCCCAACATGGACTTCCGAACTTTGGCAGTTGGTAACGGCCATCTTTTTGAAGCTAACCTGTCAAATCAGTGGTCATTTATTCAGTCTGTAACATTCAACAACACATGTGAATAATATTTTTTTCCACCATAATGAGTGTTCTGATTGGGCAACGTATCGCGCGCTCGTGGTACGTTTACGGTCGCCATAATTGTCCTACCGAAAAGACTATTCGCAATGTTCACTGTTTCAGTAAACGATCGACCAAAACCCGTACGTCCACGAAAAGCCGAAAACATCGCCGCTATTTGTGAGAGTGTGCTGGAGAATAGGAGGCAGTCGATTTCACGTCGCTCACACGGACTCAGCCTCTCGCAGACTACAACTTGGCGAATTTTGCATCGTGACTTGGGCCTGCACCCATACAAAATTCAACTGACATAGGAACTGGAGGTGACAACACCTGCTTGCGCTAGCAACGCATAACCTCGACACCATCTCCATCTCTCTCTGCATCGATTACGTTACACGAGTCTCTCTCACTCCAACAAACACACACCTTCATAAGAAACATCAATTCTTTTCCGAGTCTAAGGATATTTCCCTATCTTCTACATGGAAATGACGTTACAATTTCCATTGAAATCTACGGTAATCAAAAAATATGGTCAACTATAGAAAACGAGTCGATTTCAGTCCCGACAAAACAACCGCTATAAATATCAACAATACGCAATTACTTTCAATATTCCACGTTGGTGTCGAGGCTAAAGGTGCGTATGCACCAAAAAAGCGAACACGAGCGAGCATGAGCGAGCATTCTTGTATATTTGCTCATGTTCGCTCATGTTCGCTCGTGTTTGCTCGACATATTGATGTCTCGTCCACACCAGAGCGAATATCTTCAAGTTCGTAGTCGTAGTTGATCCATCTACTTTGTGCGAGCATCTTTTGATGTACCGCCTTCTTCTCGATCTTTTCTGAACGCGAACAAGCATACGTTCGCTAGCCCGTACTCACCAGACGATTATTGATGCAGAATGCTCGTTCACTCTTGTTTGCTCTTATTCGCTTGTGCTCGCTTTTTTGGTGAATACGCACCTTAAGAACAAAGCCTACCACGCAGACGACCTGCGTTTAAATCTCATACCGATACATTTTTTTAATTAGGACCACGTGACTGGTGCGCGACAAGGGGGCCCGAGGGATGAGGCGGAGTCCCAAGTGGGCCCAACGGGTGATGCAGAGTCCCAAGGAGGCCCAAGGTATGAAGGGGAGTCCCAAGGGGACCCACGCTCTTTGAATCTTTCCGATACTCATTCCATCCTGCATCCATTACGTCACACATTTCTCTCTTCCACTCACTAAAGTCTCTTTCCGAAACATTTACCGACGACGCACGACCTTGAAGTGTGCTAGGACCAAGCTTGCTCATCTACCTGATTTGAATTTCCCCATGCTGTACGCCCGATAGCTTCTGATTGGTCGACTGTATGACCGCAAAAGTGGATAAGTGGACTCTGAAAGTCTAAGGCCCAATTCACACAGAATGGACGTCTGTCAGAGATGATGCGCGGACTTTTGTCCCTTCCATGTGAACTGGGCCTGAGGTCTAAAAAGGTCCACAATGAACCTGCTCAAATTTGCACGTGTTTTTCCATAAGGAATGAGCCAGAACTCTATTACTAACATCGACGTATGGGCTCTGGAGCAGTTGGCAACTGACCCTAATTTTCATTGCCACTTTTTCCCTGCTACAAAATGGTGTTTTCAGATGTGCTATCCGACGTTTCGTCTTCCGGCCATCATTTTCAACTTAGTTTTTCTTATGGCATTACATTGGATTATTTCTGTTTTGAATAGAACCGGATTTCACCTTTTCAATGATGTAGTATCATAAATTATCATTCTTTTTCGAAAAATTGCAGATATTGAAAAAAATTAATTCTTATCATAATAGGCTATAACTTTGATGTTCCTAAATTTAACTTTCGATTTGGGAATAATGGGCCGGTGAGGTCTTTACAATTCAGCTAATTATTGTTATTTGTTCAAAGTTATATTTTCATTGAAAAGGACACATGTCTAATTTACCTCATACACAACTCATTTATCAAATTTTGATTTTTAATTCTGTCTCCGTATTTTTTCATTGGCTTTTCAAACGAACCAAACTCGGTGAGATCTTGATCCAATAACTTGAACAAAGTTCGATGTGGTTGTCGTCTTTCAGGATACAAGTTTTAATATATTCCCGATGTCCTAACACTGTTTCTATCGTATTTGTGATAAATTTGTATCATATCTATTTTTTCTTTATTTTTTCGCAAAAATTCAATGACTTGTACAATAACAAAATGTCCTTGAGTGTAACAAATTGAAAGTTAAATTTAGAAACATCAAAGTCAACGTCTAATATGATAAGAAATAATTGTTTTCAACATCTCCAGTTTTTCGAAAAAGAATGATAACTTATGATACAACATTGAAAAAGTAATCTGTTTTTCCCGGATATCTCCGGATATACTCGGAATTTCAGAACTTCCTCAACGGCGTATTGATAGTTAGGTAAATGTGCAACTTTGCCCCAATTCAACTATCTTCGTATCTCTCATAGTTGTCGAGATCCCAATATCGAGGATCGAAATTGAAACACCCTGTATACATGTTCTTGGTGTTTCAACCAGTTATTCCTGTGATGTGAGCTATAGTGAGGTTTGGTCACATTGAACGTGTCGTCACTGGCCTCTCATTTAGAAAATTCATCAACTTCAATGCAGATTGACATTAAAAAAATCTACGCGAATTTTCTTACGGGTCGAAAAAAGCATAACTCGAGTGAAACCTCGCTTTAAATTCAACGATATTTACCGATGACTGCGCAAGCTGTTCCATCAAGTGAAGCTGTTTGTGTCGGATATGCCCTCGTCCTGCAGCTGGCTATGCTGGCACCGCCTGGATCGGTGAGCAGCAGGCGTCCCTGCTGCGGTTGTCACCGTCTCGCAGGACTGTCGAAACTTCTGATTGCTGAACCGGAAGTATCCCCGCAACCGCTCCATCCTCGACCTGAAATAGTTCACAATGTTAGGGTGTTATGTATGTGGGTCTGCGCCATATGTCTATCAAAATCGATTTGGGCAAAAAAGGGCAGGATATGCGAAGATGAACGAAAAAAATTAATAACGTCGTCCTCAGAATGATAGTGTGGTAGCATCCGAAAATGACATTATTCTTGTTGTTTTTTCTATCAGAATAAACTTTGTATACAACAAAATCCTCTGCCTATTTATGGAGTCAGTTGATGACTATATAACTGAATAACTCGATGACCATTTTGGGGACGATAAGGAAGGACGTCAAATCATCTGTAGGATGTCGGTAGGTATTACCATTTCCTGACTTTCTGAGACTTCCCCAATATGTCCCGCAAATGTCACTAGGACAAAATGGGGACTGTATTGAAAATAAAATTTTGAAAACCTGAGAACATTCTATACCTGTCAAGAAGATAAAACACTTATCTTGTCGTATCACGTCTGGAGTCATTTTATTCTATCTTATGATATTATATGAATTTCATCTGTGTACCATAGTTAGTTAGGGAAGCCACAGACTATGCTGTAGACGACCCCTCCCGATATAGAAGGCCCCGACACTCTGTCGAATGAGGCCCTCATGTTCCCCGTTAAAGGATGAATAACTTTTTCATCCATCCCACCCCAGCCAGGTAGGGGTATCCCGTGAAGGGCGGCACTGATGTCTAAGGACTTCATGCCGTCACCCATCAGTCATGTACCCATTGGTCCCTCTCAAGGCCAATGATCAGCCAAAAGGGTAGGGGAGCTGGTCTCCAAACCTGAACGAAATGAAGATGGATTTCGGCTGTGTACCATACAAAAAACGTTCAGTGACCTACGCCCTATCAGTATTCTGTCCTCATTCTCTAAAATATTCGAGAAAAATGTTTCTCGTCAAGTAAGAGCTTTTCTTGATTCGTGAAAAAACACGAATTACAGGCAGCCCTCTTGAAAGTAATCGACAATCTTGCGAGATTCAGAGATCAATCAAAAGTCACCATTTCAGCACTACTGTTTGATCAAAGTAAGCTTTCGATTTAGTTAATTTCGATTCACTCATCAGCCAGCTCAAGTTCATAGGATTCGATGACATTTCTCTTAAATGGATGACCAGCTATCTCACAGGCCGATCACAGAGATTACTGAATGATTAAAAGAAACAATCTCAGGTGTACCGCAGGGAAGTAGTTTAGGACCCTTGATGTTTCTAGTGTTTATTTTTGATTACCCCACTTTCTCATCATATTGTCAAGTACATCTATACGCAGATGATATACAGTTTTATTTGTCTTCTCGTAACACCTATACAGAAAGTTGCGTGGCCAATATAAACACAGATTTGCACTAAACATTCCTATACTCGGAGAATCATGGACTGAAAACCAATCCAAATAAAACTTTGGCCTTATGCATAGGGTCTCAAAAACAAATAGTAGAAACTCAGTGAAACTTTAGGCTCGCTCTCGATAACGCAGACATTGACTGGGTAGACAGTGCTAAAAATCTTGGTGTAACCATATATAGCTCTTTGTCTTTCCATGAACATGTGACAATCATTTTTAACCCAAATGACATTGAATATTACTGGAGTTTTTTTCCCAACACCAAATCGTTATTTTCAACACCGATCACCAAGTCGATCACTCAGTTTTAATCTTCCTCTTTGAAGATGATCACTTGGTGATCGAAACACGTGTCGAGGTGTTGGAAATAACGATTTGGTGTTGGGAAAAAAGCTCCAGTAATATTAATTACTACACCGAAGGTTCCAAACAGTGCATCATAAGTCAAATCACTTTACAAATTCAAGTAACATTTATCAGAAGAAATGAAACTCAGGTCAGTTACAACTGAGGATACACTACAAAAACACACTCTTGTCTATTTTCCACGATATTTCTCTATTGTTGACTAGTTTCGGCTATTACACCATTTTCAAAACTAACTGATTACATTTAAATCTGAGTAATTTATACCTAAGTTGCCTATCCTATCATAAATAATTTGGTGCCTACATTTTGAATACCTGCAAAATCCATGAACATAACAAAACGAAGCTTTTGATATAATGTAGGTTTTGGGAACTGGATTATAGGTTCAGGAGAGGACTATTATTTATATCAAGTTGTTCGTTGAGGACAATAGAATTGGGATTTTTCTTTGACTTGTTTATTTCCATAGATTCCAACAGATTCATCATTTTTCCTTTTTCGCATGTGTGAAGGATCTTCAAATTATCTTTATCTATTTTACACTCACTGTATACTTTTTGGGAGGGGTGGAAGATAGTCTTTGGCTAACCCTTTTGCTTTTATGTATAAATGTATTTTTTATGCATAATGAACGATATTATTATTATTATTATTATAACAAAACGTCTGGGAGTTTTGTAATAATAATAATAAGCTTCAAATACTTTATTACAACGGTAGCTAAGGGACGATAGCCTGTTGGGTTAACGTTGGTGGTTTGCTCCACTCAATCAACCGCTGTGTGAACTGGTGGTTCGAACCGCAAGGCCGGACGATCGATTTTCACTTCCTATCGGCCAACCCGTGCTTAGAATCACACGTTAATAGGTAAGACCTAGTTCGTATGGGGGTGACAGCTGGTTAATGGCAAAACTGATTTCGACAGATTTTTTTCAACAGATATGTTCTGGACATTTATGGAATTGTTCACGAGATTTTCTGAGACAAATGTACGTTGGAACTGGAATGCTCTAAGAAAACTGTTTCTGGTGGGCGAAATTTCCAGCCTTTATATCTTCAAAATCACGACCTCAAGATTAAAACCAGAATATTCCGAGGCCAGGATCAGTAATCCAGAATTTTCTGGGAAGCTATAAAGACTCTGACAAAATGGTTGATAGTGGGTCTCTTTTGTCTTTAGCCGACCTGAGACTTTGCTGTATCTTCTGGGTGGGTTTGAAAACCGTTTCAATGAAGTGTTTCCCTTATAGTTTCTTGATTATGACTCTGACCCTAGGGATATATGGTAGTTACGCACGGTATCCATTCGATCTCGTCTTCATTCTTCGACCTTTCAATCGAATGGCAATCTTCTTCAAGCTAATATGACACTACAACATTGAAAATTTAGGCATAGATATATGTTCTGATATCCGTGCGAAACACACTCTTTATTGTAATTAAACTTTTGTTATTTTCGTTTTCCACAAACATCTAATGGGCCTTTCAACGCGACTCACAATAATTACAAACGTTATTAAAATATACAAAAAGATTTTCTTCTTTAGTAACGTTACCGGAATTAATCAACATAATGTACCAGCTAATTATTCTCAACCGTAACCGAGATAAATCAGAGTCAAGCTCTTTTTATTTAAAAGTCGACCCTAGATTGGAAAAAATGCAAATGTTTTGCTAAAAGTCCACACTAATGCTTGTTAGACAGTTTAAATTAGCGAAGGTCGTGAGAAACGGAAGAATGGATTAATATATTTCTTAATTCATTAAAAGTTCTCAACTTCTTTTATTGTTTTGTTGTGGAATTGCGATCTCTTTCCTGCCATGATCTAGGGGAGAAGCGAATGATTTGTTGACGTTTATTGTTTGAGATATGCCTATAAAGAACAGTGATGATAGAGTAGATCCCCTTTTATCCCAAGGCTCTTGAGACTTTCGACTATCATAATCGACTTCCATGACTTATTTGATTTGATTGGAAATTGTACATGCCTCAATAACTTCTGAAATCTGTATACAGTGTAGTTCGAAGATAACTTCCAAGTGTTCGGATATGAAGTTGAATACCTTTCAAATACTGTCATATAACTTTATTCTAGCGTTTAAACATCAAACATCTGAATTGGGTGAACTACGTAGATCGTCTGTTCAAGCCTAGGAAACAGAACCAGTTGAACTCTAAATAGACTTCATAAAGCGTTCAACATATGAACTTATAGCTTTTAAAATTGGTAGCTCCGCTGAATTGAGAATCATCTCAATGAATACACTCACATCATCACCTTATGTCACTACAGAGAAGATGAAGTGCCAGTTACCGTACTTTAAAAGTGCGTCAATGAACTCCCACCAGTTTTTTGCAGACTTTTCAACCTGTCTTACAAACAAGGGGTTTTTCTTTCTTGTTGGAAGATTGTTCGCGTTCAGCCTATTCCCAAAAAGGGCAAGGAAAATATTCCAAATAACTAGATACCAGTCGCTTTGCTATAAGTGATATAAAAATCATATCTTCAACATCTTGAGCGAAAGATCAATATGGTGTAATAATTGCCATTATAAGGGTAATGGAAAAGGTTAATTTAATTCCTTGAAAATAAGAATTCATTTTTGAACAGCATCTCTCTTTGCAGGGTCAGTTCATTTCAACGGTCACATTGAACCCGGTGGCAGAAAATGCTCTCATGATGACTCAGCGTCTGGAGGAATATAATATATGATTGTAAGACTTTGTCGGTTTTGCCGCCGCCATGTAAGTTAGAGTAACCCAAATAACCGTATACATTACATGTGCCATAATCACGTTTCTTAGAAACGGTTGAGAAACCGCCGACCTAAGGTTTTGCGGTTAATTTTGTTGACTCGGAAAAGAGACGCCATAACTAAATAGGCAGAACCACAGCTCAAAAATAGAGGGTGACCAATAACGTTCGATGAAAAATAATACAAGTTTTAAATGGGAAGGATAATGGAAAATAATCTAGCAAAACCGTAGGGAATGACCAATCACGGGAAGTTTAGAGGGAGAACTTATTTTTGTTAAAGACGGTACTGGGGGTACGGGAGTTGCTGGAGACAGAAAAGAAGTCGGTCACCGGATCTCATCGAGACGAGATCGGGGGTCTCATCCCTCAGCCTTCGAGGCTGAGGGAGGTAGCCTAAATAGGGGAGTAGCTAGCGGGACGTGCATCGGAAAACGCTGAGCGAAAAGGGTAATTAGTGGGACTCCGGGCGATAAAGGGTACTTAGCGAGACTCCGGGCGATTAATGGTAGTCAGGGGGA